TGGCTGGAAGAGCAAGGGGGATGAGAGGAAGCCCCAGGTCCGGGCTGGGGTGCAGCATCCTTCTTCGGTGGTCTCAGCACTTCCTGTTTACCAAGCCATGTTGTCCTCGAAAGGTCACACACCCGCCTCCCAAGGTGGTTTTCTGGCCCAGGACACCACCACCTGGGAAGAAGTGGGGCGTCCTTGCTGCCCAGAACACAAACCTAGAACCTGCAAGAGTAGATGGAGACATGAATGCAAACATGAAAGACCACAGGCTGACCCGAAGAAAAATACACCAGAAGGTATTTAGGATTTGTATCACAAAGGGCTGATAGCTCTGCTATGCGAAGTCTCTCAGAAGCAATAGGGGAACGAAATCAAGCACACTGAGAAGGAAATACTGAGGAAAAGGTGCTCATTCCTCACTTGACGTAAGATCAGTGCAGATGAGAATCAGAGCGCAGCCCCCATCCTTGCTGTCATGTGCCGGGGACCTGTGATGTGACCATGCATCATGTCTGGGCTGAGCAGAAACAGGTGCTGAGTGCAAGGCTTCTGGGGCATTTGGCAGGATCTGTCACAGTTACCCAGGCCCCTGCCTGCTCACCCCCCACCCCAGAAGCGCAGGGGCTCACGGATGTCCTCATGGGAGCTGCCATGTGTCCCAGTGAGATTGCATTAAAGACTGGCATTGAGCTCAGTGAACGCCAACAGGCAATAGGCCAAGTGGAATAGTATACAGCTATAGCAAAAGAAGATTGAGATGGGGAAAAAGAGGGAAAACAAGGTCGTCTGGCCCCCATTACCTTCCATGTGCGTAATAGTTCTCTGGGCAGAAAGCACGAAACCATTAACCGTGGGCATTGGGGGTGGAGGAAGCTTTTGTAGTGGGCTGACTTCCACTCTTTGAAGTGTGTTGTTGCCTTTTAGAATATGTAAAACCAGACTGGGAGTTGAGTGCTGGGAGAGGCCGTGTGTTTGTGGTGGTTTTGTGATTCAGACGGCCAAGCCGTCTTGGGGTCCCGTGACCCCCGTGGGATCCACAGATATGGGGTGTGGGCACCATGCTAGCCAGGGAGAGTTTTAGCCGTCTGTCCCCCTTGCCTCCTTGTTTAGAAATAGTTTTAGTTTGTATCAGTACATGTTTGCAATGCACGGTGGTCACAGTCATCATGGGGAGTTGGTACCTATACTTAGCACATCTCAGTTCCTTTTACTTCCCCTTCCTCTCCCCTCCATTTCTCGATTCCTTTCCTATTTGCAAAAGTTCTATCACCCTGTTTCCTATTATCTTTTATTTTGCACCGTATTTATACTTTGGGTTTCTCACGTAGGAGAAACCATGTGATATTTAAGCTTGTGTGTCTCAAGATGCATCCTACAGATGCATTTTTCTACAGATGATTCAAGTTTATCCTTTTTTTTTTTGGTACCAGGGATCAAACTCATTGTGCTTGAGGGGCAGGCAGTGGAACTGCTGAGCTAAATCCCCAGCCCAAGTTTATCCTTTTTTATGACAGAGTAGTACACCACTGTGTGGAAATACATTTTCATGAGTCATGCTGCTATAAACATGGGTGTGCATGGATCACATAAATATTATGTCTGACTCTTTGGGGAAGATGCATAGATGGGAAGTAGCTGGTTTGAATGCAATTTCTAGTTCTAGTTTTTTGGGGTTTTTTTGGTACCGGGGATAGAACTCCTTGTGGTTGCGAGGCAGGCGGCAGAACCACTGAGCTAAATCCCTGGCCCCCTAGTTCTAGTTTTTTGAGGCCCCCTTGCCTCCTGGGTGAGGTCACCATGCCCACGTAGAGGTCTGTCCACCTTGTAGGCTGTGTCTTGGCCCAGAGAGCGGAGCGTTGGGATACTGTTGCTCTGCTCATGCTCGCTGCAGGGCCTGGCCCCCCCTTGCCGCTGGGCAGCCTGGGGATGGCAGCTCCCAGGCAGGAGAAGGAGAGAGTGGGTGCCCTGGGGTCACGGAAGCCCTTTGTAACCGTGCACAGGAAGCGGGGCCCTCTGTTGCTGGCAGCTACAATTTGGCTGACGTGCCATAGGGCGCCAGGCCCCTGGCCACCGAGGGTGCACTCCGGGAGCCATGGCCGAGCCCGGATCTTGCTGACCCACGTGGCCCTGCTCCCACGGGCACACACCTGTGATGAGGTCGAGGACAAACAGTGCAGTAAGATGACAGCAACGAGTCCTAGACTGGCAGACTGCAACGGTGTACTATTGTAGGACTGTGCGAATATGTTCTCTCTCTAAATTCTTTACTGTACTGTTGATCTTAGCAGTCTCAGCATATCATTTTTTCTTTCCATACTGTGAGTCTTCACTTTCTCACCTAAAGAAAGCATTCTGGGCATTTCTTAGGCTCGTGAGTTGCCAGCACCTCTGCTCCTGCCCTTGGGGCCATTACCGTATCACCTGAGCCTGAGTTGATTTTTCAGGGTGCTCATATTGTAAGCCCTATCCCCAAAATAAGCCCCACTTAAGATTGTCAGCCAGGTGGACGTGTTTAGTATATTTGTTGGAACACACGATAGACATATTGCATTATAAAATAAGAATATTAATATATAATTAAATGTAAATAAATAACATTGACATTAATATTTAAAATAAACCATAATATAACTTATAATAAGCATTTGTAAATCCCATGGGCGCCTCTGGACAAGAGGTAAACGCCTGTGTAAACAGTTGAACTGGAGACTTCTTGCCAAATAACCAATCAGTGTACAGGCGTAACGCGCGAATAATGTGCACACTTGATAACAAGTGGATGTGGTTGTGTCTAATATACGTCTTCATAATTTCATACATCATGTGGAGCCAGGGATGGTGGCACATGCCTGTAATCCCAGCACTCAGGAGGATGAGGCAGGAGGATCACCACGAGTTTGAGGCCAGCCTGGGCTACATAGTGAGTTCAAGGCCAGCCTGGGTTACACAGCAAGGCCCTAACCGAAAAAAAAAAGGAAAAAAGAAATTCAGGCCAGGATTTGGGCTTTAGAGAGTTATGACGATGTTCTAGATGAAGAGGTTGTGACGTACAGTAAGGAGTTCCATCTCGGGAGGGCGTTCAGAAGTCAGATTCGTTCTTAAGGTCCACACAGTGAGTCTTATACACCTTTGTCACAGATACAGTGTAAAACATGCAGACAAGTACTGTACATAAACTATTTTTACTTTCTCAGTTGCCTTAAAATGGTAGTGCAGGACAGTAGAGCAAGTGGCATTCCGCGGACTGCGTGAATGCACAAGCAGCACTTTCCTAACGGAAGGAGGGCAGGCAGGCGGCTTGGAGCTGGAGGGTCAGCAGTGTGGAGTCGGGTGCACCTGAGGTTGTTGGAGCATACGGATCATGAGCTACTTCCGAGATTTATTCGCACCTGTGAATGTTTGTAATGCTAGGTCCGTTTGTATCTGTGGAAGTTCACAACTCGAATGTTTGTAAGTCAGGGACTTACTGTATTTGAATAAATGTAGATTTTTGTACTTGAATAAATGTCAGTCGTTGTGCATGAAAAAATAAGACATCTGAAAATAAGCCCTTATTGCATCTTTTGGAGCAAAATTTAATATAAGAGAACCCAGTTCTGGGACTCCTCCTCTCAGGAGCTTTTGTTTCTGGAGACAAGGTCTCATTATGTAGTTCATCAGGAGCAATTCCTATTCCCCAATAAACCTTTTCTACTCTTTAAAAAAAAAAAAAAATTTGCTGGGGATTTAGCTCAGTGGTTTTGCTGCCTGCTGCACAAGCGCAAGGACCCGAGTTCAATCCCCGGTACCAAAAAAAAAAAAAAAAAATTCAATATAGGGCCTGGTCTTGCTTTCGGGGAGATACGGTATTAAGATAATCAAGTCCAAGTGCTGCTGCTAACCCAGGTGGCTGCCAGGTGACTGCCGGGCCGGTAGCAGACACGTGTAGGTAACTGGACAAGGGCAGGGTGCACGTCCTGAGTGGGGCAGAGCAGGACGGGGGGCGCACAGTGCACTCTCAGAATGGTGGGCAGTCTAAAGCTTGTGAATTATTTGGCATTTTCCGTGGAACATTTTTGGATGGTGATTGACTACCCGGAAACTGCAGGTGAGGACACGCTGCACCTGGTCTGAAGGAGCCGGGCCAGAGCCTGCACCTGGGGAAGGCCAGCGACTTCCGAGCACTCTCCTGACTGTGCTCTGTGGCCTGTCCCAGGCCTGTCCCTCGGCCTTTGTGGGTCCTCCAAGGCCTCTCCCACTCTCCTGCCTCAGCTTCCTCCTGCTTAGGACTCAACCTTGGAGGCACTGATGTTGCTGACTCAGCTAGAGACCTGAGCCACCCACCCCCACGCCCTGGGGGACCTGACTGTTCTCCCAGGCTGCAACGCCAGGGCCGGGGTGCTCGCCTGCCCGCATTGACCTCCCACTTCCCTTTGCAAGGCTCTGCTGAGCCCTGGCCCCTCTCCAGGGCTGCCCCCACCTGTATGTCCTGGTCTCAGGTTTTTTGGTTTTTCCACTAGGGAGTGAACCCAAGACCTTTGCACTGAACAAAGCAAAGCACCCCCAGCCTTTTTTGTTTTTTATTTTGAGACATGGTCTCACTAAGTGTCTTAAGTTACCTAGGATGGGCTCAGCTTTTGATCTTCCTGCCTCAGCCTCCCAGAGTGCTAGGATTACAGGCGTGTCTCCGTTCAATAGGCTCTTGCTCTCTGAGGTGGCCTTGGCAGATTTGTGTCTCCTCAGCATGAGAGCTGAGCAAAGAGGGCAGGTTCACCCAGCCCCCGCCCTGGCATGTGTGGCCCCAGTCTGTGCCTCTGTGGCGGGCGTGTAGGTGTGTGTGCGCACACCCAGTGTGTTAGGTCCTGCGCTCCCTGAGCATACCCAGGCCGCAGTCTCCGCACGGCCCCTGCACCCAGCAGTGCAGTCAGCCTCGGTGCCTGGGGACAGGAGTGGACAAGAGCTGAGCCTGTTTCTGCCGGTCACGTGCAGAAGGACGCTGGGCCCCTTCTGACTCTGCCTCTCCCGGCCTCCAGACCCTGCAGGTTCCCGGTGGCGAGACTATGGTGCCTTGGCTGTCATCATGGCCGGAATCGCGTTCGGCTTTCACCAGCTCTACAAGGTAAGCTGTGGGCCGGGGCCTCGGGGCCAAGTCCGGCCAGCCTCTGTCCTTCCACCCTTTTTCCTGGTCCAGGGCTCACCTGGGTGGCAGAGGTGGGCACTGATGCCGCCCATAGCCTGCAGGACATGAGTGGTGGGGGCCAGTCGGCACAGTCGGGCCCTTTCCAGCCTGCTCCTGGGTCACTTGCGGCCTGCGTCACAGCCCGGGTCAGCTCCTCAGAGCAGTGCCTGGCACGAAGCGACTTGCAGGTTAAGAGCCGGGACACTGGAGCCAGCGGCCTGTGCCGCCCCCACAGGCTCAGTTCTCATCCGTCAAGTGGAGACAGGGCTCATGGCGGTTGGCTTTTACAGTGGCTTGGAATCACACCGGGCAGCCCGTGCTCACTTTCAGTCCAGTCTTCCATAAATGATGAGCGAGAGCGCTGTGAAGGTGGTGTCAGCCAGGCTGAAATCCTGGCACCTGGGAGGCTGAAGCAGGAGGATTGCAAGTTCAAGGCCAGCCTGGGCTACACAGAGAGACACTGTCTCCAAAAAACAACAAAAAAAGGCAGGCTTTGTGATACATGATTTTGCCCAAGTGTAGGCTAACGGCAGTGTTTGGAGCACGAGGGGTGGGGAGGCTGAGCCACGTGCTCAGGGAGATGTGTGGGGTTCAGTGCTGATGAGCTGTGGTGTCGGGACCGAGCCACACTGCAGTCGAGGGGCAGCCATGGTGCGTGCCTCCCGGCCGCACCTGAAGATGAAGGGACAGCACCCAGCGGGGACACCCCTGCCACCCCATTGGCCTTAGTCCTCAAGCCACTTGGAGGACCTCATGTAGTCCGGGGATTGCCTGTCCTCCTCGGACTGTGTTGGTGTCCGTATTATGTGGGGTGCCTCTGGCTGCCAGTCAGCCCCCAGCTGAACTGCACCTCCAAGCTGCAGGCTGCAGGCCCAGCAAGTGCTCCCTCCTGGAGACCAGCGAGAGCCCCAGCTTCACCTGGAAGCTGAGCCCTTCCTAGGAGGTGCATAGCCATACGGGGTCCCAGATCCACATCTGCTCACCCTGGAGAGAAGCCCTTTTCTCTTCTGAGGCCTCCAGCTCCACTATGTTTGGGGACTTTTCCCCTAGTACTGGGGAGTGAAACTTGCTAGGCAAGTGCCCTTCCCTTGAGCTATATTCCCAGCCTTTTCTTAGGTTTTATTTTGGGACAGGGTCTAAGTTGCTGAGGCTAGACTCAAACTCAAGATTCTCCTGCCTCAGCCTACTGAATCACTGGATTTACAGGTGTGCAACACTGTGCCTGACTTTGGTGGCTTTTTTTTTAAAAGGACCTGAATTAATTCCCAGCCTTGCCATTGTAACTTTTAGCGCACAACATGTGTTTAAACCTTGCATTCTCAGATTCTTAGTTTTTGACTTCATATGAAAGCTGATGACAAGCTGGGTGTGGTGATGTACACCTGTAATCCCGCCTGTAATCCCGGGAGGATGAGACAGGAGGATTAAAAATTTGAGCTCAGCCTGGGCAATTTAAGAGACCCTGTCTCAAAATTTTAAAAGGGGAGGGCATGCCGGAGATGTAGCTCATTGCCATGGGTTCAATCTGCAGGACAGGAGAGGGGGGAATAAAAGCTAATAGCATAACATCTACTGCTGGAATTGGAAGTTTCCGTGGAGAAACCCTGAAGCAAAATGTCCTGGGCCCTGTCCCTCTGAGCCAGTGTCTGCCTGTGTCTGTGCCCTGTGTCGATGCCTCTTCACATCATGGCCACAGACAGGAACACACGACACGGAGTTTGAAGATGAGGGCCCAGCACCTTGCTTCATCCCGGGGCGGCCCGGTGGAGCCCGGGACGTGGGTTTGGGTGACACCTACCTGTCACCGCCTGTTTCCATGGAGCTCTGTTCTCTCACCTCTGCTTTAAAAAGAAAAGAGACTCCTGAATGGTCAGTCATAAAAGTGACCCAAGAATTTGTAGAACTTCTGTTAACAGTTTCTTTAAATGAAAATAAAAAGGGAGAAAAGGTGGTGAGACACTGCCATGTCACTTTACAGCTCCATGCAGACAGCGGCTGGGTCTCAAGTGTGCGCCTCACCTTGTCACCTCTGACCCAGAGACGAGCTTGTAGCTGGCTGCACGTCTGAGGGTTTCTCGACTTTCATCCTTAGGAAATTTTCCACCTGAAACGTCAGGTTACATTTGATGAGTTTCGCCTCAGTTGTGGGTAATAACTCACACGGTGGCTGAAAAGCACTTTGCAAAATAGAAACTGCCTCTATACAGATGCTAAATGATGATCTCCACTTAGGAGGCGCTCTCGAAATGACTTCTCCCACAAACCCCTGTGAGAGCCCTTTTCCCTCCCCAATACCCACCCCTTAATGGAGAAGTTTACAGCTTTTTCTTCCTAGCTGGGGCCCAGAGTTCTGCCTCCCAACACCGGCTGGGGCCACACTGTGCCCACCTAGCACCACCCAATTCACGGGAGCCCCACTGCCCTCCGGCGGCTCCTGAGCCAGTGGATTTCCAAGCTGCCCCAGGCCACAGGGCTCTGTCTGTTTCCAGCTCCCCTGTTCCCCTGCAGCTGCCAACTTGGCTGGCTTTCCCCCGGGTCAGGTCTCATCCTGTCCTGTCGGCCAGTTCCTTCTGCTCTGCCTTCCAGTCTTGCGGAAGTGGCCGCCGTGGACTCTGCAGTCCCAGGAGACCACGACAGCCTCTTCCGCAGCCCAAGGAAAACCATGCGTTATTCCCTTGTGGAAGGGCCAAGGGTGCTGGGAGTCTGCTGTTGATTTTCCTCTAGTTTCTCCATGAGTTTTTTATTGACTTTTAATCATTTGTTTCTAAGTGGGTGTAACAACTGGTTCCTTCACCGGCTTCAGAGTGTTAGAGATTCAGAGGCCGCCCAGGGGACCAGTTTCTTGTGTCTCCTCCTTCCACCTCTCTGCCTGTCAGCTTTTAGGGTAGAATTCAGACTTCCTGCCATTGGAATGTCCTAGCATCCCCGAGAAGTAAGAGTCGGGTGGGGAGTGAGCCTGGACTGTTGGAGAGTGTCCTGGTTTCTGTCCAGCGCCGCACAAACAGATGGGTTTTCCTGGTCCCCGTTCCCTTCTGGCCCTTGTCCTTATCCAGGCCGAATTTTTCCATGTTGTAATCGCAGTCTCGTAACTTTGCGAGCATCTTGTTCACTTACGGGGTGTGCTGGGTCCCACCCCCGGGAGGACTGAGGAGAAGTTGGGTGGCAGGACCGAGTGTGCCCGCTGCTCATCCCCACTCCTTGCAGAAGTACCTGCTGCCCCTCATCCTGGGTGGCCACGAGGACAGGAAGCAGCTGGAGAGGATGGCAGCGAGTCTCTCCGAGCTGAGTGGCAGCGTGGCCCAGACAGGTAAAGATTAATGACTCCATCAAGTCACCCCTCAAAGCCTTCTCCCGCAGCCCCTCGCGGCCCCCGCCCCTCTCCCTCCATCTCCACTTTATGTGGTGACTTCATTTATCTGCTCTGAGAATCTGTTCACATTTGCAAATGAAGCCGCCGTCATTTCGGTTTAATTTGAAATTGCTTGTTTACTGTCGGCGCGGCCTCAATTAATTATGTTTTTACGGAAAGGCTCCCAACCTCAGAATATTAATAAGGGGAATAAAATGACAGCCTTTCTAAGGGCTGTAAAGTTCATTTTTAATTTCTGCTTCTATGAGGTTTTCAGGGGGGTTTTCAGTGATTTTCCCCCTTCCCTCTAAGAATCCAGTGCAGGGTCAGGAGAGTCTGTAATTACTGTGGCTCCGGGGACCCCGGCCACCTCCTCTGTTATCGACTCCACAGGGCTGGCGCTCATTACCCGCTGCCCCAGCGATGGCCCAGATTAGCTGGGACCTGTCGCACCAGAGGTGGCTTCTCTCCTTTCTAAACTTGTTTACTAGGTGAAGCTCTGGATCTGAAACCCAGAGGCAGGCAGGAGAGCCACTTGGCCCAGGCAAGAGTCCGTGTCCCTCAGGGGCACCTTTGTGGAGCCCCAAGAGTCCCCTGGTGCTCCTGCCCGCTGGAGCTGGCCCTGGGGTCCTGTGATGGGACAGGTGGGCGAGGGCTGGATGATGCCCTGGCACCTGGCTGTGGGCTCTCTGTGCTCATGGATGTGGCCGAGGCCCGAGCTGTGACCCAGGGCGGGGGTGTCCCCTAGCTCCCAAGGACTCGGCAGGGCCCCGAGTTGAGCGATGGGCGTGATAGGCGCTGAGAGGCCGCACGTCACAGCCAGCGTGACTGGGGAGAGGCCGTGGGCACAGTGAGAGGCGAAGAGGAGATACCAGGGCTAGCACCGGGCAGTGGATCGCCAGAGTGCGCGTAAATTACCTGGGGTGTGGGGCGGGGCTGCACATCGACTCTGGGATCGGCAGCACTTGTGGCCAAGGCGTGGCGAGAAGAGGGGACCCGTGGGCACTGACGACACCTTGCTCTTGTCCCCAGTGACCCAGGTGCAGACGACGCTGGCCTCCGTCCAGGAGCTGCTGAGGCAGCAGCAGCAGAAAGTCCAGGAGCTGGCCCAGGAGCTGGCTGCGGCCAAGGTACCGGTCCCCTCGCCGGCCCCAGCGCCCAGCCCAGCCCAGCCCAGCACTCACAGCTCCTGCCCCGGCCCTGCCCTGCCGTGTGCTGGCTGGCCTTGTGGGCTGACTCTGCCCCCCTGCTGTCTGGTCTCACATGGGGATGCAGCAGGGGCTTTGCCGCACTCCACCATCAAGGCTGCTCTTCCTGTCACCTCTGCCTGTGGGCTCTGATGGCAGCTCCATCCTCGAGGCTCTGGAGGCCACTGCCATAGATGTGGGACGTCTGCCTGCAAGTGAGGGTACAGGTCATGACCTGCAGTGGAGGGAAGGGCTAAGCGTGGTCAGTTTACCAGCACCTCACCAAGGCCCTGGGCTATACTTGCTGTGGCACACAGGTTCTCTAAACTCAGGTTTCCTGGGCTCGGGTCTATGAGGAATTGGAGCTAACCAGGGTCAGGTGAGGCTGTTTCCATGCCTCAGGGTCAAAATCTAAGTGGTCCTGGTAGTGTTAGGTTGTAGGATCACACTGCCTGGGTTAAAAAACCAGTGCTGTCCCACCCACAGGTGAGTTAGTTACCTTCTCTGAGTCTTCTTTATCTGTGAAAGGGAGCTGCTGAGGCACCTGTCTCGTAGGGCTGCTTCTATGCTTAGGGCAGTGCTGAGCTCTAGCCAGCTCCCAGGACAGCAACCCAGGTTTCCCAGGTTGGTGACAGTGTCATCTCTGTGTTGCTCACTTGGACAGGCGAGGCCCAGGAAGCAGTGGTCCCGGGGCTCTGTGACATCCTCTGAGGGTTTCACTCAAGCTGCTGTCCCAGCGAAAGCCACCCCTGTTGCACAGGTAGATTGTACACCCAGGAACATGGGCATCTTTCCACTTCCAGGGCACTGGGGTGCCTTTGTGGAGGGTCCTGATGCGCCCCCTCCACTGTCCACCACACACAGGTGCTGCCCGCTTCCTCCTCCAGCTGCTGGGGCTCGGGCTTCCGCAGGCGGGCAGGCAGGCCTGAAGCAGCTTCTCTCCATTATCTTTTGGATTCGAGGCCTGCCAGTGGCCAGCAGCCATTCCGGAAATTGGAAAACTGTTTCCCGGCCTCGCACGTTAAGATTAAGACCACATGTTGCATTGTGAGGAGGGCGGTCGGCCTCACCAACCCCTTCCCTGCTCCCTGTGCTGAAGCCGGGTCCCCAGCTTGGCATCCAACCCATCTGTGTGAGGACTTCAGTTACCCATAAACCGGGGTTCTGAGCTGTGTTTTCTCAGCTGTAATGTAAGTTTTTATATCTGGCTTCCCAACTCCTACTGGAGCACTGTAAAAAATTAAAAAGAAGAGCTTTAAGTAATTAAAAAACTTACATAAAACTCAAGGCTGTGAGTTTTCTACAACTGTTTTTTAAAGAGACTGGCTAAAAAGCCCCAGATGTCAGATTTTATTTCTAAATCCTGGCATCTGGCACCATATGCGTTTGGAAATCTGAGTCCTTTGTAGGCCGCTGAGTGGAAATTGCTCCCTTGTTAATGGGCTGCTGCCGCTTTCAAGGTCTCGGGGAAGCCAGAACAGTGGCTCCTGGGCCCTCGCTGTCTGGTGGTCTGGCGTGGGGACCCCTCAGGGACAGCCAAGGGTGGCGATGTCTGCCTGCTCCTCCTGGAGCTGCGGCCCCTCCGAGGGCTTCTGCCTGCAAGAGTGTCCTGGCTGCCCGTGTGCTAGGGCCACCCACAGCGGCCCTGCCGGGCGTCCGCTGGCAGGGAAGAGGCCAGGGTGTCCCCTCACCAGCCTGGGCCGGCATGTCAGGGAGTGAACCATGCTACCTGTGCACTTGAAGACAGCAAGGGTGCTGTCCAGCCTGGGACCCGGCCCTCATGCCACGGCCACACCTAGGAATCACCTCCATACCTATTCCTGGCCCGGGGACACTGTGTCATCGGCCCCCGCCCCCATCTGTCCCAGCGGGCTTTGCCCAAGGTGAGACATATCTAGGAGACCCTGCCATGGTGTGTGTGGCGGGACCGTGTCCCGGGGCAGCTCTCTGGCTGCTCAGCACCCCCATCTCAAAGGGGGCTGAGACTGGGCGAGGCTTACAGGTGGCTTTGCACATAGCCAGGGGGAGCCGAGGTCTGAAGCAGTGGGAAACAGCACACCTTGGGGTCAGCCTGCCCTCCCTGACACCCTAAGGTGGGCCCCACACCTGGCAGTGCGCCCCTTGGCCCCCATGCTTCTGCCCCTGCTGGTGATCTCTTTTGGAAGGGGGCAGAATCTCATTTTGGGATGTGGTTGGCAAACGATGGTGCCTTCCCTCAGTTGTCACATAGGTCCCATTGCAGAAAGCACAGTGTCTCTCATGGCCGTGACACCATGGTGTCCCCTGGGAACAGAATGATTTCCTCACGTCACCAGGTGTCCGGTGCGGGCGAACTTGTGTTTGGGTGTCTTGCAGGCAGGCCCCGAGTGGGCAGTGGCAGAGCCTTCTCGTGGGACACAGAGCGCCCCACCAGGGTCCTCCTACTCTGCTGACCTGTGACCCCCGTGCTTTGACTTTCAGGCCACCACGTCTACCAACTGGATCCTGGAGTCCCAGAATATCAGTGAACTCAAGGCAGAGATTAACTCCTTGAAAGGGTTGCTTTTGAATCGGTAGGAGGCAAGGCCTGGGCTTGGGGTGGCCTGCAAGTGGAAGGGAACACTGTCTCCCGGGTCCCTGACCAAGCGGGGTGTTCAGGCACTGGGCTTGGGGACCCATGGAACTTGTGGTTTCCCTCCCCTCAAAGCTCTTTCCCACCACAGGGGTGGCAGTCTGGGAAGCACACAGGTCCCCGGGCTGTCAGACCTGGCCAGGGGCTGGGCGAGGGAGAAAGTATGGGCCCTGAGCAAGGACGATGGCAGCTCTCCCTGACCTTCCTGAGCCCCGGTGACATCAGTGACAGCTCTGCCCAGAGAACCCCCCCCCCAGGGCCACTAGGGGGCCAGTTCTGCAATTGCATGGTCCCCACCTCCCTGCCAGCTTCCTTAGTGTCCCTGTGCTGTCCCTCTGCTGGGCAGCACATTGTTAGCACTGCAGCCATGATTGTAGGCTGCCACTGTGTCCTGCTTTGCCCAGGACTGTCCTGGATTTGAAGCCGCAAGTCCAGTGTCCCCAGAGCCTCTCGGTGAGCGCGTGCCCCCACAGGGTGTCCCGCTGGCCGTGGTGGCTGCTCGTGGTCCCCAGAGGAAAAGAACGAGTCCGTGATACTATGGCAGAGTAGGGATGCCTTGGGGTTGTCGAAGGGGGACCCCTGTGCCTCCGTCGTCCAGAATCTAGGAGATGGCTCCTCTGTGGCAGGGGGCATGGGAGAGGAAGCTGCAGATGAGATCTGGTGTGTGTCGCTGGGGGTGGTGTGTGCCCCTCGCGTGCAGTGCTGGGAACAGTGGCGGCCAGGGCAGGGTGCGGCGGGGCCTTGTCCCCTTGCCTCGGGCAGAGGTGGCCTGCATGTCACAGAGCTTCTCTTGGAGCTGTGGCCAGGCCCCCGACCCCTGAGGTCCTCCTGGGGTGTGGGGTCACCAAGGCGGGGCAGAGCTGGCCCTGCACCCAGAAGTGTCGGCCTCGGGTCTGCTGAAGCACACTGCTGTCACCCTTGGGCTCTGATGTCCGCGAGCCCTAGGCCAGGGACCAGGCTCCCTGCTGCCACCCTTCCCGGGCCATCGAAGGCGTAGCACCTAGGCCTCGCTGTCCCGAATCCCCCTCCTGGCCCTAGGTGGAAGTGGGGACAGTGCTGGGTTGGGAGGGAGCCAGCTCAGGGTGTGGGGTCCCCAAGGCCACAGCCTCCCTGGACACGGTGGCCGGGGCCAGCACAGCGTCTTGGCTGCTGGAGCCCAAGTCAGCAGGTCAGCACCCACTCGGCTTCTCTTCCCCCTTCCGCCAGGAGGCAGTTCCCGCCGTCCCCTTCGCCGTCGGCCCCGAAGATCCCCTCCTGGCAGATCCCGGTCAAATCGCCGTCACCCTCCAGCCCCGCGGCCGCCAACCATCACAGCAGCAGTGACATCTCCCCAGTGAGCAACGAGTCCACGTCGCCATCACCTGGGAAGGAGAGCCATAGCCCCGAGGGCGCCACGGCCGCCTACCACCTGCTGGGCCCGCAGGAGCAGGCCGAGGGCGAGGTGGACGTGAAGGGCCAGGTGCGCATGGAGGTGCAGGGCGAGGAGGAGAAGAGGGAGGACGAGGAGGACGAGGACGCGGGCCAGGCGGACGAGGAGGACGTGCTGGGGGTGCAGAGGGAGGACCGCCGGGGTGGGGACGGGCAGATCAACGAGCAGGTGGAGAAGCTTCGGCGGCCTGAGGGTGCCAGCAATGAGAGCGGGCGGGCCTAGGGCCCCTCGCCGGGGTGTCGTCCAGCGCTGCCCTCTGCTCGGCCCAGGAGGGCGGCCGGCGTGGGTGGGTGGCGCTGTCTCCCCGTACATGGGGGGGGGGGTGGTCCAGCAGCCTTGTCACCCCAGCCTGCGGCCCTGGGTCTGGTCCCCAAGGCGGGCGGCACCGGACCTGGGGCTCCAGGCCCGCCACCTCCTGGAGACGTCCTGCCCAAGCGTGTCTGTCAGGTGTCTCGGCTAGCGTGGCACCGTGCATGGCAAGAGCTCCTGTTGTCCCCGTCTCCTCCTTCTCCCCGGTGGGGCGGAGCTGCAGTCCCCTTGCCCTCTGCTGTCCCCCTCCGTCCCCTGGGCCTGGCCTCCTCCTCTGCCACGTTTCAGAAGCCAGAGCCCTGGACCTGCTGTCGGCCCCCCACACCAGGACCCCGGCCCGTCCCACGTGCCCTCCCACCTTCAGACTCCTTGCCCGGCTCTGCGCAGCCCCTCTCCTACGGCGGAGGGCAGCAGGGCCTCCCCGAAACACGTGTCCCTCCGTGTGACCGTGTAGATTCCGGAACATGAGAGACGACTGTACATAACTGTAATAAAGACGAGTTGCCACTACTTAACTCCTGCCTGTGGCTCCTCTCTGCCTGTCACCCTGGGACCCTGCACAGCGTCCCCACCCCAGCGTCCCAGGTGACCTGGAGGGCTGGGAGGGAGCGCACTGTCCTCCCGCTGCAGGCGCTGTGCTGCTCGCGCGGTGTCTGTGTGGGTGACATCCCCGACCGACAGCAGGAGAGACCTCCGTGACTGTATATAGACCTGCTGCTTCGAGGAGCGAGGAGCCAGAGCTGCCTTCCTTAAATGGTGCACATTCCCGAGCAGCCGCGAGCCAGCGAGCGGAGCCGGGTCTCCTGCTCTTCTTCTCCGAGCTCTGCCTTCCCCTCCCCTGCAACCTCCACGCTGGGCACCAGGGCTGCGGCTCCTGCCTGGGCTCTGCTCCCTCAGGCCCTGTGTGAGCCAGGCCTGTGCGCTGGGCACCGCCCCAGCCCTGCTCCTGTATGTGGGCACCAACATGGTCCGCCTCTCATGTGGCATTTCCATGGCCCTCTTCCTCATGTGGGCACTGCCACATACATACTGAGAAGCAGCCCCTGGCCATGGCCGCCACCGCACATGGAGTGTGGCACAGGCCTGAGCCACTCCAGCAGCTGCAGCTCGCTGTTGTTCTGAGGCAGGCGGAAGCCACACCAGCCACTGCTGGGCTTGGTGTGCTTTATGCTGTGTCACCTCTGCTGTGGGCCTGCTGAGGGAGCAGGTCGGCAAGCCTCTGGACTCTCGGCCCCAGTCCCGGTGTGGCTGGCAGCTCTGCCCTGCCTGCTTGTCACCTCTGTGACACTCAGGTCAATGAGCCACTCAGGGAAATGAGCCCTGGTGAGAGTCACCTGTTGACCTCTTCCTTTGACTCTGGCCTCGAGTCCCTGAGGAAGCCAGGTTTCCCAGCTCCTGGGGTGACCAGCCTTGCCCAGGTGAGGGGGCCCCCGGGAGCCCCAGCCTTGGGAGCCAGGTAGCCTCAACAGGGACCTGAAAGAGGGCCAGGTGGCCCCAGCCCACAGCTGGTGACCCGGCTTCCCACCCTCCAGCCTGCATAGGGACTTCCATAGGACGGGACGCCTGGGCCCGGGAGTGGCACTGCTAGGGAGGTTGGTGACCATTTATCATTAGCTGTAACTTCCGAGGCCATTCCTGATGGCGCCAGAGAGGGAGACCTGGACGGAAGCAGAGCCCCAGCCATGACAGTGCCTCTGCCCCATGTCCCCGCAGGAGCTGGGCCCCGCTGTCCCCAGGTCGGTGGGCTGGAAGGCCCCTGAGCAAGCTCGGGAGGAGGGCCCAAACCCTGGGGCCCAGGCCTTTGCCCCCCAGGTCCTGAGCACCGAGTTGAGCTTTTGAGGACGGAGAGGTTGGCGCAGCTTCAGGGAGAGAAAAACCCCTCCCCAAAACGGCGTGAGTGCTGCCTAATAAAGGCAGCTGCTGGACGAGGGCAAACAGCCTTTGAAAAAAAGCCTTTCATTAGAAAAATAATGCATTTCATCCAAATAAGGTAAAAATATTCGGAATGGGGCAGAAGTGAGCAGCAGGCAGCGCCTGTCAGGCCCTTTCTGGAAGGGAGTAGATTATTAAACTCAATTACGATGGCTTTTTATAAAGTGTCCTTTAGGAGAGCACCGGCCCTGTGCTCACGGGCCGCAGGCACTGGCCTGACCCCCTGGTCTCTGTGACCCGGCTCGGGCACACCCTGTCTGTGAGGCCAGGCCTCGAGTGGCATTCATGCCACCGGGGAGGCAGCAGGGACCCAAGCAGGTGGGACAGGGAGGCTCAGGGTCAGGGAAACAGGCTGCCACGTTTGTACCCCAGAAAGTGTTTCAATCATGGAATTCTGTGTCCGATGTTTAGGGAAGGGAGACAGTACCGGAGGAGATCACGAGTCCTCTCCACTGTCACCTCTGCCCCTCAGTAGCTGAGTGTTTGTAGGATGTGGGTCTCTGTCCCTGTCCCTGTCTCTCTGGGCTCAGCACAACTGTTTGTTCCCAGGGAATTGGCCTGTGGGGGACGGGTGTCAGTGCTTCCACGGGTACCATGGAGACCCACAGTGCGGCAGTCAGGGTCTCCCCCATGGGAGGCCACGTGGCTAGGCTTAGCTGTCAGTGGCCCTTTCTCCCCCTGAGCTGGCTGTCCTCCTGGGAGCTCGCCTGTCTGTCCCACCCCACAGGGACAGGTGGCCAAGCCAGGCCTCTGTTCATTTCCTGCAAGGCCCCCAGATCTGGTGCTTTTTATTTTCTTTTTGCAGTACTGAGGTTTGAACATGGCGTTCGCACTGAGCTACATCCCAGCCCTTTTTATTTTTTATTTTGAGACGGGGTCTCACTAAGTCCCTAAGTTGTCCAGGCTGGGCTCAAACCTGTGATCCTCCTGCCTCAGCCTTGTCCAGAGTGCTGGGATCAAGATGTGCGTCACCACACTCAGCGGATCCTGGCACTGTTGCGGGCCCTGTACCGCCCCTGCTTCTCACAGGCCTGGCCTGGGTCAAGGCGGCTATTACCTGTGTGGCCAGGGCCGCCACTCGTGACAGTGGGCGGACAGCACGTCGCTGCGTCCTCAGGGGAGGGCCTGACAGCTGGGCCGAGCTGCGAGCCTATGCAGCTGGTGCTGGCTCTTGCGGGAGGTTACAAAACTCTTGAATTTGCCCCAGTTTAGCGAGGAAGCATCCCTCTGCCGCAGCTAATTAAGTCCCAGGATGAAAACATGTTTTACTGCGCTTCCTACTGAGCCCAGTAAGCCGCAGGGAGTGGTGGGGCTGTAGCCCGGCACCCTTCAGGCTCCGGGGTGTGGTGGGCGGGGCACCCTGCGCGTCGGCATGGTGGCACAGCGTCTGATCAGGGAGAGCCCCTCTCATGCCCTCTGGGAACACCAGGTGTCTGAGGCTCGGTGCAGGGAACCCCTGGAACTTGGGCTCCCTCCCTAGGCCCTTCCTTTTGAGTGGCCCAGCTGGGAAGCTGATGCTGGGGTCTCCCCGCCCCTGGGCATCTGCTAGGGTCTGTCCAGGCCTAGAAGACCTGGAGGACAGAGAAGGGTGAAGGTTGGGGGTCTGGTCAAGGTCAGCAAGCCACCCTGGGTCCCTGTCCTTCCTCTCCCGGGGCCCACGAGCTGACCCCCGGGCCCTGACCCGATGCCTGTTGTCCCCTCCGGGCACCCCGTGGCCACAGCACCCGCTGCCACCCCTCAGGGTGAGCTTGGGCTCAGCTCCCGGCCTCCTCCGGCCCCACGGGAGGCCTCGTGGCCCACCAGTGCCTGCAAGCCTCCAGTAATGGTTTTAATTTGTTGAACTTGTGTTTTATCCCATAAATTAGTCACTGTTTTATTTAACAGAATCGAGATATCCACAAACAATAGACGAGTTCCAACTTGAACATTTTAATAAGACCGAAAAAAGTCTGTATTTTCAGGGCTGCTGCAAACATATTTATGTAAATAGCCTGCTGCGTTCCAGGAGGAAGCAGAAGGGATGGCCCTGTGGGCAGCCGGCTCCTCGGTGGGAAATGACACTGGGTGGCTGTTGAGGGGCAGAGGCCACCCCTCTTCATCCCCAGCAGTGCTCGAGCGGGCCTGGCACAGTGAGGGGACAAGTGTGTGGCAGGAACCCATCTCATGAGCCCTGCACAAGTGGGTGTGGTGTTCCCCTTAGCAGGAGTGTGACAGGCCAGCCAGATGCTCCCCAGCACAGAGAATGGGGTGGGTGCCACACGTCCCCTCCCCCAGGCCGAGACTTGAGGCTTCACTGATACCTGGTCCTGCCCAGCGATGGCCCCAGGCAGGGCTGAGGGAGCCACCCTCCTGGCGGGCGTGGCTTGTGTTCCCACGTCTGTTCCCAGCAGCCAGAGGACCTGGCCCGATGCCTGGGGGAGAAACTGACTCTGTCCCCCCTTCCTGCCAGGCTTGAGGCTGACTGACTCCTCCCCTCTCCCCACTGGTACACGAGGCCCGGCTGGGATTGTGCCACCCCACACAGCTGGGTCACACAACTGGCCAGCCGCTTGGGGGTGATTTAAAAAATAAAGGATAACCTGATGGATTTTTTTCCAGTTTTTATTGAGTGAAAATGTCAAACCTTGCATCAGTCATGCAAAAAAATCAAATAAATAAAACACATATATTAAATTTCTAATAGCACTAAATTCAAGTGGAAAAATATTCAGTTCTTAATAACCAGGTGCCGAGGAGACCAGATTCAAGTAATCAGAGCACACGCTGTTCAGTTCGGTTTCACGGTCTGCATTTTTTTTTTGTCTCAAAACCTCTCTATATATCTCTATATATCTATATATGTATATACATATAGATATATACACACATATGTGCATACATATTATTTTATATTTATATATATACACATACATAGTTATAAAACATTAAAAAGAGCATTGGTGGATCAAGCATCGTTTTCCCCACAGAAAGAAAATAAAACAAAAATTACACATTAAAATTCAAAATGAGCTAGCAATGGCTTATAGTCCTAGTGTGCAATATGAAGGGTATAAAAGGCTGGACTTCGCACTGTCCACATCTTTTGTCTTTTGTTTTTTTTTTCTTGGTTTGATTTTGCTACATTGGAAAACATTTTTTTTCCTTTACAAAACTCCTTCCACAGATGCAGGGTCCCGTGGGAGGGCGGAGTCTGGGCCAAGCAGCACGGGGGCCGCAGAACTTGGGGGGCTGTGGTGAGGGTGTGGGAATCAACCTACTTCCTATCGGGCTCGGTACACTGTGACCGCTCCTCCCTCCCTCCCTCCCCATTCCTCTTCAGTTCAGATGCCCTGGCTTTCTGGCTGTGGGTGGCAGAGAGGACACACACACACACACACACACACACACACACCCCAAAAGAAAAAAGAAAAGAGGAAAAAATAGAGAAGGGAGGCTGAGGCAGGAGAATTGTCACAAAGTTCGAGGCCAGCCTGGACTACACAGTGAGTTCAAGGCCAGCCTGAACTGCATAGTGAGACCCTGTCTCAAAAAGCCAAACCAAACAAAAAAAAAAAAGGAAGAAAGGAAAAGAAAGCCGTGTCCCACTGGGGCAGGACCCTGGGAGACCTGAGGCCAGCATCTCTGGTCACAGCCCGGCCCCGCCTCTGTGGCCCCGGCCAGGTGTGCCTGCAGGTGGCCCATGTGGCGCTCTGATGGTTCCACCGCCCCAGGAAGGGATGTTTTGAAAAGGGGACCGAATCTGGATGGGCCGCACCAGCAGAGAAGCACCGCAAACAAAATAACAAACTGGAACAAGAGCGCCCTACAGAGCCACACGAATAACCAAGAGAAAACTCAAATGTTAAATTAACTACAAACTGGGATCAACAGTAAGAGTCTGTTTTTCTCATCTCTACAAAATTCAAGTGAGAAGCTGGGATCACGCGCACCATCAGTGCTAGTGTGAAGACAGACGGCCTCAGACCGCTAAGGCCTCCAGTCAGCGCCACCCACGACCCCGCAGGAAATGGCATTCAGGCCTGCAGGCCCTGGGCTGGTCCAGAGGCGGCCTGCACTGCACCCACCTGCTGTGGATTCTTTTTGTTCTATGTAGAATAATAACCTTTACAGGAAAAATACTGTACAACTTTCTGGTATCTTTTTCCATTCTGAATATTAAAGCCCAAAACAGTCGCATCCTTCCTGTTTGGACCCAGGGTGGCCCAGACCCTGGCCCCACCTCTCGGGGACACAGCCCGCACTGGGGGTGGCTGGTGTCACCGCGCAGACCCAACCCCAGCCCGGGGGAGGGGACAGTTGCAGCGGCCGGGCCCCCGGCGGGTAGGTGGCAGCGTCCCTGCAGTGTCACCACGCTGGCCGCCTCCGCCCGCCCTCCCCTGGCCAGGGGGCGTCTTAGCTGCACGTAGGGGCCCTGCCCGAGGCTGCAGGTGCCGGGGGGTGTCCCGGGCGTCCCCGGCGCCCCTGGGTCCTGAGCAGGGACGATCTGGCTCCAACAGGACCCGAGCGCCGGCGGGTTCCCCGGAGATCCCGCCTTCGGCCTCGCAGGGTGCGCGGGCGCCCTGTCCTCCAGCCGCTGAGCTGCTCGTCCGGCCCGGAGCACCAGGGGTCCCCGCCTCTGTCCTGAGACGGACTCGGGGTCCGGAAGCACCGGCGGGGCACGGGCGCCTCCCCTCCCGGTCTGGACGAGCGGGCGGGCGGGACTCTGTAGAGGGAGCGTCCACAGACAGCGCGAGGCGGGACCTAGGGCGATGCCGCGGCGGGCGCTGGCCCCGGGGTGCCCAGGGCCACCAGCGCCGGGGCCTCGGCTGCCGCCTCGGGCAGCGACTCCTCCGAGTCGGTGCGCAGGTCCTCGTCGTCGTCGTCCTCGTCGTCGTCGTCGTCCTCGTCGTCGTCCTCGTCGTCGTCCTCGTCGTCGTCGTCGTCCTCGGCCTCCTCCTGCATCTCCAGCTCCTCCTCGTCATCCTCCTGCGAGGACTCCCCCGCGGCCTGGACAGCAGCGCTGGCCGGGCCGGGCACAGTGGGCCCCTCCTGCGGGCGGGAGGCAGCTGCGGCGGCGTCGGGCGGCCCGGGGTCACCCGCATCGCCCAGCGCCAGGGCCAGGCCCAGGCCCGTGGCCGCCGACTGCAGGAAGAGCAGCGACGCCCCGGGCTCAGCGCCGAGCGCGAGCGCCCCATCCAGGCCGCCGGGCGAGGGCGAGGGCGAGGGCGACGCGGCGGGCGGCTCCCCGCGCTCCTGCTTCTCGTGCTTGCGCTTGTGCGAGTCCATCTGCGACATGCCCACCACCGTGTGGCGGCAGCCCGGGTAGGTGCAGTGGAAGTGCGAGCACTTGAGCTTGTACTTGCAGTCGGGCACGGCGCAGTCTGCGCTCGAGCTGAACTGGCAGAAGCCCGCGGCGCTGATCACGTCCTGCTTGCCGTGGTGCTTGCGGTGCGCCGTGACCTTGGTGCTGTCGGTGCAGCGGAAGCGGCAGCGCAGGCAGTGGAAGTGCGTGCTGGTGCCCGAGAATGGGCAGTCGGTGAAGTGGCAGCTGAGCGAGGCCTTGAAGCGCTTGAAGTCGTCCAGCACCAGGTTGTCCACGCGGTCGTGATGCTGCGCGTGCTTGTACATGTGCGTGCGCCCGCAGAACTTGTAGCCGCAGTTCTCCCGAGTGCAGTGGTAGTGCGTGACCTTGAGTGAGAACTGGCAGGCCGCGTCCTTGCAGTCCTCGTAGAGGTCGAAGCGCCGGAAGCCCTCCAGCATCATGCCCTCGTCCAGCATCTTGCGCGAGGAGGCCGTCTTCCGCCGCTTGCCGAAGGGCGACATGTCCTCGATGATCCAGAAGCGCTTTTTGGCCCCCGAGGCGGTGGGCATGGAGATGGTGTTCCCTGGGGAAGGTCGTGGGAGGTCAGCGCAGAAGGGGTGCCCCTGGCACCGTGCCCAGGACAACACCCACGAGGGTCCAGTCCCATGCGGGGGCCGGGGAGTCCCGGGCAGCCCGTCCTCTAGGTCCTCCTGGAGCACCCGACCAGGTCTGCGGGGAGGCGGTGCTGCTTCCTGGCCGGTTCGGGTGGGGACCGAGGACAGTCCTGGTGCCAGCAGAAGCTGAGGGGGAATCTAGGCCGGCAGTGTAATTACCCAGGTTGAACGGGGGCCAGGAAGCCCTGGCAGGCTGGCCTCTAATAGGGATGGGCGGCTCCCTGCTGCTCGCCTGTCCACAGGGGACCTGGCTGCCCTCGGGGGTGTGGCCAGCGCCCCCCCCGGCCCTGTGGGCCGCCCCTCTGCATCCCATCCCAACTCTCCTTGGTAGGGGAAAGTTTTCTGTTTGTTTCTAGTACAGGGGATTGAACCCAGGGCCTTTGCACTGAGCTAAATCCCCTGCCCTTTCATTCTTTAAATTTTATTTCATTAGTACATGTTTCATTAGTACATGTTTGCAGTACATAATGATTACATTCATCCCTTTATCTTTTATTTTGAGACAGGGTCTCATCAAGTCAATGAGGAGTCCAGGCTGGGCCTGAACTTACGAATCTCCTGCCTCAGCCTCCCTGAGTGCTGGAATTACAGGCCTGTGCCACCAAGCTTGCTATACCAGAAGTTCCTTGAGGTCCCACCAGGGTGTTCTGCGCCTAGGCGACCTGGGGGCCCAGGCCTCAGGGGCTAAGCTCCAGGATGCCCTGCCCTCTCGCCCAGAGCCCTTCCCTGCCAGGATGGCAGCAGGGGCTCCTCGGTGGGAGCAATCATGAGGGCCCAGCCTGGTGCCAGGCTGCTTCCCAAGACACGGGCCCTGCGGCCAGGGACTCCTTCACCCCGTTTCTGGGAGACACCTGCAGCCCTACAGCCTCCTGCTGGCTTCCGGGAAGAGACCCCTGGCCCTGGCACTGCCCAGAGACTCCAGAGACCCCAGGCCCAGCCTTACCTAGGGTGGGGATTGGCACGGCCTTCCCTGGCTTGCCTAGATTGCCCAGCCGCCACTCTGCCCACCTGTGGGACAGGCCCAGTCACCTGGCCTTGGCAGATGGAGAGAAAGCAGGGAGAAGGATGGGCTGGGACGTGGGAGGGCCCGGCCAAAGGGCAAAGTCAGTTACGCCAGCAGCGGAGCTTTCAGCGTGCCCTGCTCACTGCCTCCCCTGGGTGCCTGCACAGAGTGTGCCGGACAGACGCGGGGAGGAAGGGCATGGACAGAGAGGCAGGCTGGGTGTCATCTCCACCCAGGGCCGAGAGCAGGCTGGCAACCTGGAGGGCCTGGTCTCAGGACCCCCAAACCTGCACAGGTCTCAGGTGGACCCTGAGAGCAGCAGGGACAGGCTCTGTCCTGCCCAGGGTGGCGCCCACAGGCCGTAGAGCAGGAGACTGGCACGCCACTCAGGGCCCTGACTGTGGCGAGAAGAGGCAGCTCCCCTCCAGAATGAGCAGAGGCTCGAGGAGCTGCTCTTGAGACCTGCCAAGCCCTCGGGCCTTGCGGTGCCTGGCTGTCAGCGGTGCAGCTTGGCCCTGTCCTTGGCTCGGCTGGCCACAGGGAAGGGCCGGGTCCTACACTATGACCCGAAGGATCGCTTGGGGGCACAGACACTGGGAGAAGGCGTGCACGAGTTACCTGCGGCATCCTGAACTAGGGGGACGTCACTTTTTACTGGAGTTGGAGTGGCAGTGACAGGCGGGAAGCTGGGCGGGCTGCTGATGGGGTGGGCCAGGCCCCGGCTGGCTCCGAGGCTGGCACTGAGCAGAGAGTATGAGAGACAGGACGGAGAGAAGACGCATGGGAGGGGAGGGAGGGGCGGCCGCAGCGCAGCCGGAGGGAAGGGCGGAGCCAGGGGGGGCTGCGGAGCCCCACGGGCAGCCTCGTCACCAGCGGCAGCAGGAGGAGGAAGAGGAGGAGGAGGAGGAGCCGGGCAGCCTGGAGAGGTGGAGAAAAGCAGAAAACAAAACAAAACAAAAAGACCAAAACAAAGAGAAAACAAAAAGAACCAAAATGAGAAACCCAATGGCAGAAGCAAGTATGATATGAAAATATGTGGACAGATGTGCAGAGAGGTGCGACACAGAGGGGAGAGAGCACCGGCGGGGCAGGTGGCAGAGGCTGGGTGGACAGCCCGGTGTGCCAGGAGGGCCTGCCCATGGCTGGGCTGGGGCGGAGGGCCTGGGCTCCCTCTCCTGAGACTGCGGTGGAGGGCGGAGGGTGGGCAGGGGCAGTGCGGCAGGAGGTGGCTGAGTGCCCCCCAGCCGGAGCAGCTGCCTGCTGCACACTGGACCGGCCTGGCCTCTGTCCCAGGTGGACTCGGCAGAGCTGGGCTGGGGGCAGGGCCCGGCCCGCGCTCACCTGCCGCAGTGCTCTCGTTGCCCACCGGGGTGCTTGAGCAGCTCCGATCCATGGTGGACGACTCGGAGGAGGCAGCGCCTGGGCTGCAGCCGGTGTAATCCATGCCCTCATCTGTCTCGGCATCCATCAGGCTTGGGGGGCCCTGAAAGGAGGCAGGGGTCCCTAAGGAAGTTGGCCACAGAGTTCTGGCTGTCACGTGGGCGGCATGGCCCTCCACCCGGAAGCAAGGGTGACATGGGCCACAGCCCTCGGGAGGCCCTGGGCTCTCACCTGGGAGGGGGGCACTCGGTCGAAGTTCTTCCCTAGCATCCTCCGCATGTGCTTCCGGGCGTGAGAGGTCATCTGGTGCTTGAGGAGGAAGGAGAACTGGCAGCCCTCCCGGATGCAGTGGAAGTGGCTGTTCACCTGGTTGTACTTGCAGCCTGCGGACACAGCCTCCCCTGGCATGAGCTACCCAGTGGCAATGCCCATGCCCCGGTGTGGGTCAGCTCTGTTGTGGGCACAGGGGAAGCGTGGCGGGCAAGGCGGGTGCATTTCTACGAGGAAGGCTTGCGCTGCTTTCTCCCAGGAAGCCTGAGGGCCTGGCACAGAAGGGTGTGCCCAGCAGCCGTGTCCCTGCCTCAGACCCTAGGAGGCCCTCATGGACCTGTCCACAAAGTCAGCCACCTTCTAGCAAGCCACCTGTCCCCACACCTCTTCTGGGGAGCCGGGGTGGTACCTGTGCCCCTGACTTGGCTGCCTCAGCTGGCCTCCAGCCTGCCCCCACCCACCTCTGCTATGTTCCGGCCTGAGAACAAATAGAGAGGGCGGGACTGAGACAGTCTCAGCTAAGGGCAGGTGAAGGCCTGCCCGTTGCCATGGCTCCAAGCTGCCCAGGTGGCTTGTATCATCCCCTAGCTTTGTTTGGCCCCAGCTACCACCAGAAACACCCAAAGCTGAGTAAATAATGGCAACTACAAAATACCCTGACACCTGTAAACTGAGACCCAGAACAGCATAGGCCACTGAGTATGACACCCATTGCCATGGTTACCGGCCCTCTCCAGCCCTTGGGTTCTTTCAGAATTAATACTTGCAGGAAAGGTTTGTTTCTCTTCTTTTCTGGCAGTTGACTTGGACCATCTCACCCTTCACCTCTGGAGGGGCCAGCTCCCCAGGACCCTGTTGCCATGACTACGGGCCACAACACACCTGGCCTGCAGCCGGGGCCTCTGCCTATCTGCTCCCGCCTGCCCTCCAGCTTCCAGTATATTCCTCGGAGGTTCCTGGCCCACATTTGCAGGCTCATAACTGTGGCTCCATCCTGAGGCAGGAAGATAGGCTGTGCCTGTTGACCCTGGCTGGAGCCCTCTCCCCAGGCCACCTCAGCAGCTTGGGCCACCAAGTCCCGCAGCAGCAGGGTGGACCCAGAGGCATCTGCTGCCAAGCTCAGGGCTGTGTGCCCTGCGGCCCCCTCCTTCCTGGGTCTCCTGCCCACCACAGGTGCTCTAACGGAGCCCACAGTGTACTTGGTGGTCCTCACCAGGTTCCCAGCACCAAGCCCAAGGCTAACACACCAGCCAACTAATCTTAGCTGCCACCTGCACTGCCACCACCCTCTCCTAAACAGCACCAGCACATACCTGTTCCTCAATCAGTAACTGTTGAATGAGTGAATGAATGGATGAATGAAGAGGTGAATGAATGAACAAACCATGGCTCGTTTTGGATAAAAACCTCATAATTAAAGCCATGGAAAGGATCCCAAGACAAGGAATTTCTAGAACCCCCAAGATTTACCTGCATGCCCTCTTGGAAAGAAAAGAAAAAGGAACTAAGCTGAGCCCCTAGGTCCTGGGCCCTAGGACATCTGCCTTGGCTGGAGAGGAGTTCTCAGAGCCACCCCGGCCCTTTCTCCTGGGCTATTTGGGCTTTAACACTCTGTGAGTCTATGGCCTCTGTGACATCTTTAACAAAACATGGTGCCAGAGAGGGGAAGACATAGGCACCAGGAGAGGTGGTCCTAGTCACCAGGGCCCCGGGAGTCAAAGCCATGGTCTTGTCCCCTGAGAGAAGTCCCTGCCCCAGCCCTGGCTGTAAGTACCTAGCCTGCCGCACTCCTCCCGCTTGGTGAAGTATTTGAATCCATTGGCCGCCCGCCGCTCAGCCTTCTCATGCTTCTTTATGTGCCAGGGCAGCTTGGTGGTGATGTTGGTCACAAAGTAGCAGCCAGTCCGGAGGCAGTGGTAGTGCCCTCGCATCCGGAATTCACAGTGCTGTAGGAAAACAGGAGACTGAGGACAGGCAGTGACTTCCTAAGCTCCTACCATCCCAGCCCTCTGGTCTGTGGCTGGCCTTTTGTACTGTGTTCTTCCACACTCAGAATCAGAAAACACAATAGTATAAAGAACTTTCAAGTGTTGAAAACCAGTATGCCCCCTTTGTCATTTCACTAAAACATCCTACCTAGTAACCTTATAATCCCTCACTAATGTCACACCCAGAGCAGACGTCACTGATCTATTTTAGCACTCTTCCCAGTATGCACAGACCTAGGCAGACATCACTAATCAATCCATCCTAGCACTCTTCCCTACATGGCCAGACCTAGACAGACATCATTTAAACACCCTAGGAATATTCCCAGACCTAGGCAGACATCACTAATCCATCCTGGCAGTCTTCCCTGCATCCCTAGACCTAGGCAGACATCACTGATGTATCCTGGCAGTCTTTTCTGCACATTCAGACTTTTGCTCCAACTCCTCAGGTAGCCCCTGCCAGTCCTGGGGTAAGCCTTTTAAACCTGTCCTTCCCATCTGGGTATGGACAATTCTATCCCTTTATCTATTCTTGGGCCTATTTTAAAATTCTAGGCCTCTGGGGAAAGGGGACATAGCTAATGCCAGGATGCGCAGGAAGGATGTCATGTGCCCAGTGGCTGCATAGCATTTAGTCTCTACTGGGGGTTTGGATTGAAATGACAGACCTCAACAATTTAGCACCAATCTGGTCCCCTGCCTGGGGACCGCCAGGGGCCCAGGGGCAGACAGTGTTCTTTCCAGAGTCTGGTGGAAGCCAACTTAAGAAGGGCATGAAAAGCAGAGTCTCTGCCAAGAGGAGCCTGTGCTGGGCCCTGTGCCTCCCCTTCCCTGCCACCCTCTGCCCACCACACTGACCTGGTTGGGACAGAGACACTGGAGGGAATAGTAAGCAAACTGGTCTCGCACATTCACCAGGCTGTTGTTGGGGTTGATGTGATCCAGGCAGTGGGATTCAGCCTTGCCAGAGGTCTTGCAGACGTACTTGCAGTTCCCAAAGAGACAGTGGAAGTGGAACTTGTTGGCGTACTTGCAGTCTGTCGTGAGGCAAGGATCACTGGAAGGAAACCACAGCCCAGAAGGTCATTGACATTTCCAAGCCCTCCCCACTGGTGTCCTGATTTTGCCTGAGTTGAGGTTCATTCTTCAGTCACCAGTGGTGCCATCAAGAGGAATGGCCCTGGGCTAGGTCTCCTGCTTAACAGGCCAATTCAACCAGAGACTACAGGTCCCAGCATGCATCCCTGCCTCCTTTTAGGCACTCTGCCTGGTGCAAAGGGATTGCAATGTGCAGGGTGCCCAGAGCACGGCATGCTGGGACATGTAGTTTCCATGGCCACACCTCAAGATTATAGATAAGACTGGCTGCAATAACTTCTTGGATATGAAAATAAGGGACGCTGCTGGCAGCCCTGGCAGGATGCCAGTGAAGGCCTAGCTGGCATGGCATGGCACCGCCTTGGATGTGGCTGACAGACTGCAGAAGGGTGGGCACCCCTACCAGGAAGCACTGCCACTGTGGGACCTCAGCAAGTAGGAACGTGTGCCTGATGTCAGGTCCCGCTGAGGCTCACAGCTGCTGGGGCTCCCCGGGTCTGAGGCCTGTGGCACCCACCCCCTCGGACAAGCCAGGAGCCAGAGGGTGGTAGGGGCTGGCGGCAGGTGCGTGGGGAGGTGCTGGGCCTGCTTGCGAGGGTGGTGGGGCCCATGAGCTGCAGAGGGCTGTGGGAGGACGTGGGGCTCCAGCCTTCTGTGCTACTTGTCAACTCTGCAGTCCCCAAAGAGTAGACCCGAGGTGGGAACTCTGCCCAGGCCCAGAAAGCTAAGAGAGCTGCCACTTCAGGGAGGGGAAGCAAAGAGGGACAGAGAGGCACTCTGGTCCCCTTCCGTACCATGGGCCCAGTCCCAGTGCTCAGAGAGGGAGGACAGCTGCCACTCATGTGGTATAAATAATCCAATTTATTACTTTTAAGCCGCACACATTATGATACAAAGTCACCATTCTCGCCACAAGGAGCCACCACCATTCAGTGAGGAAGGTCCCTTCCAGACCCCTGTGCAGGTGGGTGCAGGCCTGGAGGGGCCTAAGCCCCTTGCCCCTGCCCATGGATTTCATGCCCTGCAGACTCAGCCTGGGTGTGAGCCCCAGAGGAGCCCAGCAAGGGCACCTGGAAGGAGATGCAGCCCCTGTGCTGGGCCAGGAAACCATTCCCTGCCCACCCTGGCTGGGCCTTGTGGGATCTCCACAGCCTGGACCCGCTGGAGCAGTGGCGGCTACCCCCACTGTCCCCACCTGCTGGCTGCTCAGGAACAGGAAATGAGGCACAGGCAGCAGCAGCATCTTTGGCTAGAAGGACGTGGCCCAGGGGCCATGTCCCGGAGGGTGAGGACAGCCAGTGCTAACTGCAGGGTGAGGAGCAGGGCCTCCTCGCTGCCCGTGCTACACCCACTCCCAAGACACACAGGGACGGGGCACCCGGCTCATCGAGGGACTCACTTCTCCTGGAACTGGAGGAATCCGGGTTTGACCTGGGGCTTGGCGTTCTCTAGAGAAGTCGTTGCCAAGGGTGAAGCGGGAAGGTGAGGCACTGACGCGGGCATCTGAGGCATCTGGGGTATGGTGGAAGCCAGCTGCTTCCAGGCGAGCAGGGTGGGGGTGGAGGGCACCAAGGCTGGGTTAGGAGTGGGCCCCTCCAGGGAAGACCCCGGGACTGTGGCGCCAGGGGGTGCTGGGGGGGATGAGGGTGCTAGGGGAGGTTTGGTCTCAGCAGCAGAGGCTGGGAAGGAAGCCTCTGTGTTTCCTTTCGCTGTTCCTCCCTCTGTCCGGAAGTGGAAGCTGGAGAGGCAGAAGATGGCGTCTCAGGTGGGGAGCCGAGGAGCAGCTGGTGGGTCAGACCTTCCCTGGCAGCACACGGCTCGAGGGGAGTGCCACGTGTGACCCCATCACAAGCCCAGGGGCACAGCATCCCTACCCATCCTGAGCACGGGCTCTGGACATCTCCCATGATCCCATCTAGACAGGGTTTTTGTTTTGTTTTGTTTTGTTTTGTTTTGGTACTGGGGATCAAACTCAGGTCCTTGCGCCTGCAGAGCAGGCAGCAAAAGCACTGAGCTCAATCCCTGGCCCTAGACAGGGTTTGAGGACAAATGGCTGTGTCCTTGATTCTGCAGCTGGGCTCCCCGTTTGGCCCTATCTTCCTTCTTGTGACCTGTTTGTGTCCTGAATGTCTACGCTCTGTGTGTGTGTGTGTGTGTGTGTGTGTGTGTGTGTGTGCGCCCTGCCTTGTGATGCCCCCTCCTCCAGAACCTGCGCTGGGGTTCACAGGTGGGACCCTCAGTATTCAGCAGGCTCTTGTGAGGGCCAGCAGCTGGGGATGCCTGTTTTACATGTTTTACACCTTTTGAAGGTTTGAGTCCAGTTACAACCAGTGGTTGGACTTGATGCTTTCTAACTCCACAGGATTTCCAAATCCATCTCAGTATTTAGGTCAAAGGGAATCTATAGAAGCCACGTGTGGCTGGAAAGGCCTTGGCCTGCCCTGGGTCTGAGCTGAGCCTCTCTGGTTGGGCTCTGGGCCCTTCTGGTGGCCAGGTTGCAGGCCCCACCTGGCTCTGGCACCAAAATAGCTGGCACTCAGGGCCTCAAGTGGGGTCTGGGCATGCGGCAGAAGGCAAGGAAGCTGGCCCCTTTGGGCAGCTCAGCTTCCAGAGTCTGGTCAGAACTGCATTCAGTCCTGCTTGGAGGGGCCGGGAAAGTCTCGCTCAGCCTAGAGCCAGGACGAAAGGGGCTCTATTTAAGTGGGCCCTGGGACTCTGGGGACCCTCACTCACTTTGCGTGCTTGATGGCCCCGTCCAGGGTGCTGAAGAGCGCACCACACTCCTCCACCACGCAGTGGAAATGGGCCTTGTGGAGGAAGTCACACTGGGCGTCACAGAAGTCCTTGGTACCAAACCTGGTGGGAGCAGCCAGCCGGTTAGAGTAGGGTCAAGTTAGAGGTGGGGCTGGTGTGGCCACCTGGGACCCTGCCCTCCCCGCTGTGCTCCGCAGGCCCTCACCTGCGCAGGTACACCTTCCAGGGCTCCGACAGCTTCTCCTGGACAAGTGCCTTCACAGCCTTGCCCAGGAAGGGTGAGGGCTCCGTAGCAGGGCTCCCCTCCACTTCTGCCTTGATGTTCAGCAGGCTGCCGAGGCCAGGGTCGCCCTGAGACATCTGGGAGGACAGAGGCTGAGCTTGGGCCCACGTGACCCTTGGACAGACCTGCCCAAGCACGGCTTTGGCTAGAGAAGAGCCCTGTCTGAAGGGCTGCGGCCCTGGCCCTGGGAGAAGCAGGACTGGGCCTTTCCTCACAACCCTGTGCTGCGGGAGCCGTCATTCAAGGAGAGGCCGCCACTCTGGGTGCACACAGCAGCCCCATCCTTCCCCAGACTTTGCGGCTCCCTGGTTATTTTCCTGCCAGAAGGTTTTCAAAAGAAGTGCAGGAGGAGGAGGGATGGGGGGAACCCCTATGAATTCCTTGAGAACAACAGAAGGCACACAAAGGAGGAGCAGGGAGGGAGGGACAGGCTCATGGAGGAGAGCCAGGCAGGCGGGAGAGGTGGGAGGAGAGGCTCCCTGGGAGGCAGCGTCCTGAGGACAGCCAAGGAGACCAGGAGGCCGTGCAGGGAGGGCCTGGCCACAGGGCTCGTGCCTGTGTGCCCAGCCAGGACCTGTCCATGAGGCCGGCCCAGGCCCGCTCCCTCTTCAACCCAGTCACTTGTGTACAGTAACCAAATTAATCTTCCTGCAGTCAAATTTATCATGTGAAGGGGAAAAATATATTTGAGATGATGTATAATTTACAAAGACCCTGCATTATTTAAAATAAATATTCCGGAGCGACCTCTCCGGAAGGCGTCCGAGACCATTACTCAACCCGAAAAGTGGAAATTAATGCTTTGCTCTCACTTTAGTCTCCCCCTCTGCCCCTTTTAAAACAAACAAAAAATAGATATAAAATAAATAAATAACATCAATAACTAAGGGCGAGAGAAGTTAGAGGGCTCCGGAAAAGCTTTTGGAGCCCTCCATCGGAAAGGAAAAAAAAGGTGTCAGAGGCTGGAATATATTTCTTCAGCCAGTTCATTAAATTAATTTGTAAGCAGTGGCTCTGAAATTATATTCGATGAAAAATGGCCTCAAAATTTAAATGGTACAAACTCATCTTATTAGAGGGAAAACATTAAAAAACAAACACGTCCCCCCACCCCCCAGCACAGCTTTAATTTCTCTGGGTGGGGGCGGGAGGCGTGTGATGGATGGTTCTTACCTTATTCATAAGCGAGGATAAAAGAGATGAATTTGCTGGGACTGCGTGGCCATTTGATTCATTACTAGAACACACAAACCAAGGGGCTTCAGCTCAGACACTGGGGGTACCGAGTCCAGCGGCCCACCCTTCTCGGCCAGACCAGGGCTCCAGCCCAGCCCAGCCCCCGGGGCCAGCTCTGGGGGTGCTGCCACGGGCGTCCCCTCTGGGGCCCGGGCTGGCCTCGCCTCACCTGGGCTCCTTCACAGTCAGGTTGAGACTGCGGTCGTGGGCAGCCTCGTGTGGGCCTGGGGCACCAGCGCTCTCGCTGCAGGGCTCCTGCTTCACCTGGGCCAGGGGGAACCTGGTAGGGGTGGCCTGCTGCCCGCTTCCTGCAGGGGAGGGGAGGGAGAGGAAGATGGGCTTGGGGGTCACAATACCAGTGCCCCCAGGGAGGATGCGGCCGGGTGGGCCAGGGGCCCCCAGGGAGGCCTAGCTGCTGGTCAGCAATTTTCTTCACCGACGTGATCACTTTCGACGCTTACCCCTGTGTGGCAATTCTTCAAGTGATAATTATTGCAAAATTATGTCAAAGTTGTCCTGGCTCAGGGCCTCCTGGAGGAGAAGGGCGGGAGTCTGGGGAGGGGGCTGGGGTGGGGGCGGGGGGGCCCTTCATTTTCTCCACCGACTGTCATAGTCGATTTGCGGGGCTGCTGCTTAAGCTTTTCTTAAAGACTGTGTTAATGCTGAGGGAAAGTGGCAGATCTGGCCTGGGAGCGGCCCCTCCTTGGTCCCAGGCCCGCTGTTGCCGGGGCGACGGCCCTGCCTACACTGAGCATGCCCGGGGAGGGCATCTGCCGTGTCAGGGCTACGGAGGCTGACGGCCAATCCGGGCGGTTCAAACTGTGTGACCTCGCCCGCCCGTCAAGCTGTCCAGGGCAGGGACTCAAGCCCTGCCCCGGCGGCCAGGCTGGGTCCGAGGGGGAGCTGGGCAGGAAGAGGCTGCAAGAGGCTGAGCAGAGCAGGGGCAAAAAAAGTTGCTGACAGGAGCGTGTCCACCGAGCCTTGCTCCACAATCCCCAAGTGACTGAAATATTAATTTCCCCCAAGGCGCTACAGCTGACAGAGAGCTGCTTCACAGACAGCAAGTGGCATTTTATTAAAAATAAAGGAAACGGTCCCCCCTCCCCTTCCTTTGACCTTTCTTTTTGGGGAAGGAGATCTGTCTAAGGAAAAGAAGTACTTGATGGTCTGGCTGAAGAGCCCGATGTGGCTCTGGAGTAGGTCTTGCCCAGCCTGCAGGCCCTGTGTGGGGCGTGGCCAGGCAGGACCCTTGCCACTCATGGAGTGGACGCTGGTTCCTCCAAATTGCCATCTGGGATATGAGCGGCCCTCTGGAGTCCACAGTCCAGCAGAGAAGTCATTTGTCCCTTGTCCCTAAGAAAGCAGGCCCAGTGGAGGCACCCTGGAGATGCGGGGACCCTCTGTCCTGGCTGGTTCCAAGACAGTCTCAAAGGGGAGCGAGCACCCAGCCAGCAGCCAGAGTGCTGGGGCCTTGGTGGGGTGCTGACTTCACCGCTTGTAGTTGTGTGCCTGGGGACAGAGCATCCTTACTGCTCCAGCAGCTCCACAGGGCGGGGCTTCTGTTTGTCCTCTCGCCTATGTGTCCCCAGCACCAGCTCAGTGTCCGCCCTCGGGAAGCACCTAGCAAGCGGCCCTTGGCAATCACCAGTGGTTGTTGAATGAATGAATGAAACGAGCCACATCCCAGACTGAACGCTTCACAAAGACCAACCAGTACTTATTAGCCAGGTGAGGAAACCAAGGGAGAGAGGAGAGAGGGAAACAGAAGAGCAAGATCAAATAAAAAGCAGGAGGAAAAGTGGGAACAAGCTAGAGAAAGAGCGAGAGAACATGCTAGGAGAGCTGCCCCTCAGTGAGGCAGTGTGAGACGAGAAGAGGAGGCTTTGGTGTCCAGCCTATGCTGCAAGCACAGCACCGTGGCCAGTGTGGCTACCGGGAGTTCAGGGAATCACAGTCGCCATCCAACGTCTTCGTCACACTAGCCAGTTTAAACAGCCTCATGTGGCTGGCGACTGCCAGTGCTGACAGGGCAGAGCAGAAGGTTCTTAGGCCACAGGAAGTTCTACTGGGGAAAAGCCTGAAGGGGCTCCGCCTGGAGGGGCTGAGCAGGTGTGACGAGTAGCCACCCCCCACTGGGCTGAACACATCCCCCTGCAAGTCAGCTGGAGGAGGCCGGGGTCAGGGAGGGGACAGCTCTTCTTAGGGACCCATCAGTGATGTGGAGCAGACAGGGGCTACCAGGACACATCAGCACCCCAGGAGGCGGGGACTCTGGTCCTGCTTCAGGAGAAACAGAGGCAAGAGCACCCTGGGGGTTGGGCCTGAGTAAGGCGCTCCAAAGAGGAAATAAACAGGATGGAGGCAGAGACCAAGCGAAGAAGGGGTGCTGGTTGGTGGGAGACTGGGGTGCTGGGACCCAACAGATAACTCTTCCCCAACTCCCCTGCTCTGCAGCCTGAGCCCAGGCAGCTACTGGGGTCTACAGGGTGCTTGCTTCCTGGGCAGTGCCCCACCTGCTCACCTGGGTCAAAGGTGGCAGAGGGCTTGAGGGCAGCCGCAGCCAGTCTGGCCATCATGGGTGAGATGAGCCCTTTGCTCGCAGAGATCCTCTCCATGATGGAGGCAGGGGGCACCAGGACAGAGGTGGCAGCTGCTGGGGCCGAGTCTCCAGCTCCTGAGGCCACCAGAGCAGGTGTGTCAGGGGCTGCTGAGGGTGCTGCCCCAGATGACACGGCACTCAGAAGGCCGGGGGCACCCACAGGCAGGGACGCGCTCCCCCGGCCAGGGAGGAGGGGGAGATAGGGCGCAGTGGTGGGCAGGCCAGAGTTGGAGAGGGCCAGTGCCAGCGGGATGGAGCCAGGCAGGCCCTGGGGCAGAAGCCCCGAGACCTTGCTGTTGGGAGGCTTGGTGGCACTGGGCACAGCCTCGGTGGTGGCGCTGGCAGCGGCGGCCAGGGATGCGGAGGACTGCTGGCTAGTGGGAGAGGCGCTCAGGCTGGAGTTCTTGCTGCTCAGGGCAGAGAAGTCGACCAGGTCGTCGTTGCTTGACTCCTCGTGCTCCGTGTCCTTGGCGCCCAGCAGCGAGGGTGGCAGCCCCAGCACGCCCGAGGAGCGGATGTGGCGGCGCTCGTGCTTGCGCTTGTGCGAGGTCATCTGGCTGGTGGAGGTGAAGGTGAAGCCGCAGCCGGCGCGGATGCAGTGGAAGTGGTTGGTGGCCTTGCTGTACACACAGCCCTCATACTTGCACTCCTCGTACTTATAGAACTTCTTGAAGCCATCCTTAGCATAGGCGTCATCCTTGATGTGGTAGCTCTTGTGCTTCTCAATGTCACACTTGTTCTTGAAGGTGAATGTGCAGCCAGGGCGCCTGGATGGGACATCAGAAGCCTGTCACGGACCTCACCCCCGTGCCCTGGGAGGGACGGTCCGCTGGATGGAAGACCACGGCTGGACACTAAGCTGGGGTCCCTGAGCACCCAAACTCCTGCCCGGGAGGAGCAGGGCCTGGCCATCCTGAGGGCTTGGTTTCCCGCCTCTGCCCTCCTCCAGGAGGAGCCCCGTGCTGCCCACTCACCTGCAGTGGAAGTGCGTGGTCTTCTGTCCATAAAACTGGCAGTCGGCCGTGCCGCAGTCCTCAGTGGCTCGGAAGCGCTGGAAGCCGTCGTTGATGAGCTGTGTATTCTTCTTGTGGAAGTTCTCGTGGGTCATCACGTCGGACGTGCTTGTGTACACCTTGTTACAGCCCACCTGCATAGGCCAGACGGCGGTCAGGGAGCCGAGTCCCAGGACTGCTCAGGGAAGCCAGAGCTCTGGGAGTGGCCAGAGCCACAGGGTCTCTGCTCAGGGCTCTGCCACCTCTAACCCTCCATCACCTCCGGTCCCCTGGGGCCCTGAAGCAGAACACTGCGGACAGGCCCTGGGCCACCAGGGAGGGACCAGGACTTCCCCAAGCTGAGGGCTGGGCTGTTCTCAGACCCCACACATTTTGGGGCCCAGGCAAGGGAGCCTCACTTGGCAGGGGTTGAGCTTTGCATCCCAATCTGTGGCCTTACCTCTAAAGCCCACTGGGGGTGGGGGTTGGGCAGGGCTGAACCCTGCAGGTCACCTTTAGCTCAGGGACTTGCTCAGTGGATGGTTCTTGGGCACAGGGCCCTCCCACCCACCGCTGCTGGGCCAGGCAGGCAACGTTGCCATATTGAGTAAAAAGCAGTGGCTTCTAGCACCCTTGACGGCTGAGCCGTGCCAGTGTCTGCACCATCTCAGGCCCAGAGGGTGGCCCCCCTCTCCTCGTGCCCAGGTTGCTCCACAGAGGCCATAACAACCCCTGACAAATATGAGGGAGGTGCGGAGGCTGCTATTTGCAACCCAAAGTCGCTCCTCCTGGGTCTGACACCTTGAAAAAGCCCAGACTCTGCATGGCATTAAAACAAAGAATTAAACAAAAACCTCCTCAGGAATCATTTGCAATGCTGCTCTTGGTGTTAAAGCCTGAAAAATGTTGGTCTGTATAAACAGCTCACTGAATTTCCCCCACACCAAGTATGGCCATGGGGAAGGCCCCGCCCTGGCCACCAGACACTGCCCATGCCTGAGCCCCTGGGACTCTCACCTTTTCAGCCACCTCTGCCCAGGGCCAGGAGAAAGGGAAACTTCTGGTCTACCAGAGCCCTGCCCATGAGGCAGCCTACCCTGGATTGAAGGGTTCGGGGGAGGGCATGCGCTAGAGAGGGCTGAGAGGTTCTGGGTCTTCCTGGGCCCACAGGCACAGTGGCGGGAGTGGGGTGGTGGCACCTGCATGCAGTGGTAGTGGGTGCTCTTCCCGTTGAGGTGGCAGCCGTGGTAGTATACACTGCAGTCATCCAGCGGGCTGAAGCGCATGAAGCCGTGCTGCAGGGAGTTGTCGCGCTTCTTGTGCATGTTGTAGTGCCGGATCACGTCCTGCTTACTCGTGAACCTCTGCCAGGAGAGAGCGCCTAGTTGGTAGGAGCCCGGGCCCCAACCCGTGTGCCAAAAGTGCCTGGATCAGGGGCTGGCCCTGGGGCCTGTGCGTCACCCCATAAATAACCCTCTCAGGGCTGAGGCAACTCAGGCTGCCCAGCTAGTTCCGAGCATGCTAACCCTTGGCTGGAAGAGTTCCAAAGGCCAGGGAACCACAGACCCTTCCTTGACCTCTTCCCAGGCTCCCAACAGCCACGCCCGGAGTACTGAAGTGCTGGGCAAGCCCTGATGGCCAGGGCTCTGATGGGCAACAGCGTGTCCTGCCTGGGGCACCTGTGATGCCAGGCTGGGCTCCCTGTGAAACGGAGGGAGCAGCATGTGCAGACAGCCTAAAGCACCCTTCACTAGCTCTGGCCTTGCCAACACCAGCTATGAACACTTTCTAACTGAACCTCAAGTTTTCATCTTGAAAATGGGAAAATAACAGGCTTACGAGGCCCTGGAGAGAGCTGGTCAGCTAACGTGCACAGGCTGCCTGGAGCAGGTCTTGGGCTACGCTAGCCTCCAGGCCAAAGGACCTAGAATGGTTATCCCCAGGGCACCAAGCACTGCAGAGCTGATCAGCAGCTTTCTCCGTAGGAACTGGGAACGTGGACAGGCCGGAGGCTGGAAGCTGCACTCTGCCTGCACAGGTTAAGCCCTGATGGCCTGTGTAGGACTCAGCAGCTCCCCGCCTCACATCCAGCAAGAGCCTCCATGCCGTGCTGGCGGGCAGGCGGGCAGGCTGTGGCCCTTACCTGGTAGTTGCACTCTGGGTCCAGGCAGTGGTAGTGCTCACGGTACTGGTAGGCGCAATGGATATGGCCACAGTGCTGACTGCCTGAGAACCTGAAGAGACACAGGTAGGTCAGGCTCCTCACTGAGTGACAGCCCTTCCCAGGTCCCAGGCCCCACAGGTGGGCTGCTGGGGTTTGGAGGGTCTGAGCGGGGGACAGGTAACATGGCAGAGGCCTGGGGCTGCCAGGGCCAGCGACAGCCTTTTAGGACTCCGGTAGTTTCCTGGGAATGAGGGCCAGGTGAGGCACAGGCCTGGCACCCAGGCGGTGAGGAAGAAGCTGGGGAGGAGGCCCGCAGCCCTGTGGCAGTCTATGGCCTTCCTGCAGGTCATGGCCTGATCAACCTGGACCTCCCAGCTCTGGCCAAGGAGGGGACCCAGGCTGGGGCAGCCCAGGGGTCTGTTACTGAGAGGTGTTAAAGGGCCCTCTCTGTTCTGGGCTTTTCCTGACACTTGAAACAGTCCAGAGTTATGAATTTTTAAAGCACAGCATCTGTTCGGCTTCCCGTGGCAGGGAGCTCACTCTCCAGCCAAGTGTGCAACACGGCCTGACCACCGTGGTCTCCCGAAACACGGGTCCCTCTCAGGCCCGACACTGCCGGCGGGGTTCTCTAGCCAACCTCAGTCGGTCAGCCCCAGGGAGAGGAGGCCACGTGTGTGTGGAGAAGGTGCTTCTGGCTCCCTCCATGGATGACGAGATTGCAGGAGAGGGGAAGAGAAGCCTCACTGTAAGGGGAAAAACCACTTGCAAATAAATATTTAAGTTGAAGCTGCCAAAAGGGCCATCTGCTGAGGCACTAATAATAATGATAGCAATAATAATAAAGAGAAGAGGGAAGAGCAAAGCAGAAGAGACTGAGGAACAAGGGAGCCAGAGAGACAGAGAAGGACTGAAGAAAGGCAGATGCCACCGGGGATGCCCTCTACCACATGCTGCCCACCATGCCCCGGCCTCAGGGGGCCTGATCTGGGGTTGGTGGAGGAGGTCTTCACTGGCCAATCCCGTTGCCCTTGGGAAACTGGGATCTGGTGTCAGGTAATGGTAAGGCCTTGCCAGGAGAGGCCAGGGAGCCATGTCAGAGAGCATGACTGCCCACAACCTGGTCAGCCCTGACACCTGCCCAAGCTCCATGTGGGGGCAAGGCCCAGGCTCTCAGGCTCCTCCCACACCCCAGCCTTGCTTGGGGTACAAGCTGCTGAAGGACCATGTGGCCTGGCTCACACTGAATGGTGGGTCTGAGATGGACTTGTGGGGTGTAAGCGAGTGGGATTTGCGGGGAGGCAGAACCTTGGCCCTAGTGGTGAGAGGCGCATGCATGGTCCCTCCACCCATGGGCATTCCGGGCGCCCCCACCTTTCCTGCACACAGTCTCCTCCCCGGGCGCCTACCTGGCAATATATTTCTGGTAAATGTTTACATCTTCAGTGACAGCTGGCTTATCTGTGGGCAATCCGTTCCTGGCGAGACACATAGGGCACAGCCGATTAGCAGACGGGGGATAGCCTCTGCCCCAGGAGCTTCTGGTGGGCAGCTCCCTGCCCTGGGCCCTGGCCCTGATCCCCTTGGCTATGTAGGTTTCTGAAGCACTTGGGGTGGGGCTGCCAAAGTCTCCAGGCACAAGCCAGGCACAGGCTCAGATGAAGGCTGGAGGGCCAGGCCTAAAGTCCACCTGGGCAAAAGCCTCCAAAGCCAGAGCTCAGTACTCCGGCACACAGAGAGGAGTACCAGGAACCCAGGCCAGGAACACAGGAGAAGGTGGGTAGCTCTTAGCCAGGGGGAAGTGTCTCAGCTCCCCCCTTCCACTCCAGCAGGAGGGTGCAGCCTGGATGTGCCTTGGGGCTCCAGGCTCCCACACTGCTGCATCGTAGGAAAGAGAAGTCTCGCTCAGTTGCCCATGACCTGGTTAAGCTGAAAGGGTATATGACCCTTGCTCAGCCTCCTACCTTCTTTTTCCTGCCTCTTCCATGGCCCAGGCTGAGCCTGGAGCCAGGGCCCCACTGTGGACCTGGGCACCCGACCCAGGGTGGGGCTGTCTTGACTAATCACAACCACAGCCTGCACCCAGTCCTCGTGGCAGTGTGGCAAGGGGGCAGCAGTGGTCCTTGGTATGCATGTTGGCAAATGAGCAGTCCATACTGATGCCTGGGTGTGCGACAGTGTGTGAGGGTGCACGGGGGATGAGTCGTGCACAAGCATAAGCACACAGGAAGGAGTGGTTACCTAGTAAATGTGATGTGTGTGCACGCACGTGTGTGTGTGTAAGCAGGTGCCTAAGAGTCTGGCATGAGTGTCCAGGTGCATGAGGGGATGTGTTCACTCCCGTGAACACCACAGGAAAGGAGCAGGCCTCCCAGGAGCACCCAGTCCTGCCCAGGGCTCGGGGTGGCAACAGGGTAGGGAGCGCCTTACTTGACAGTGGAGACGGTGCCTGTGGTGATGGAGTCTGTTTTGGAGAAGGTGGACTTCAGGTACTCAGGAGTGTTGAAGGACAGGGAGGCAGGTGGCTCGGGCCCTGGCCCGGGGGCGCTGGGAGCACTGGGCACAACGGCGAGGGCTGCAGGAGCCAGGCTGGGGGTGGGTGGAACCTTGGCGGGGCTGGGCTTCTGGATGCCCCGGACGTCGTACTTGGAGGGCCGCCCCACTTTGCCCGTCTTGAAGGCGATGGCCCCGCCCATGTCAGGGCTGCCCTCCCCTGGTTTGAAGAGGTGCAGATACTTGACGTTCTCCAGGTCGTACTTGGATGGCTTCTTGTAGGTGCTCCCATTCTGGGGCCGCAGGTTCTCACCCGTCTTCAGTTTTTGGATGAAGAAGTCATACTTGGAGGCACGGGCCACCAGGTTCTGCATCTGGACACTGCTGTGTGACGGCAGGGGCAAGATGGTGGCCTTGGTCTCTAGGTGGGTGGTGTTGCTGGGCAGCCGCAGGCCCGGCAGGGGACCCACCACCTCCTTGCCTGCCCGCTCCTCCACCTTGGTGCCGTGGGCTGGCCAGGAGAGCTGCTCCCCGGCCTTGAGCTTTCGGATGTACTCCTCGTACTTGGAGAACCGCACCCGCTTGCTGAGGGCGTCCTCTGAGGCGGGCAGCACGGAGGAGGTGGCCGCCTCAGGGGTGGAGCCCGCGTGCAACTTCTCGAAGCTGATCTTCCTGGCCAGCTCGTCCCTCGTGTTCTGGTCGTCGTAGCCGAACATGCCAAGGAACTCGGTCATGGTGGAGGCCGCATAGTCCCGCAGAGAGGAGGCCTCTCCTACAGGGGGAGGAGAGAGGCGTGTCACCTGGGGAAGGGAGAGGAGGCCCCCACCATGAGCCCCCATCCATGGAGGGAGGGGCCGGGAGGGGAGGGGCAGAGCAGGACATGATCTATGGACCTTTGGCTCACTTGTTAGGTTTTACGACTCTTAAATTAATTTGTTTTAAAAAAAAGTAATTAATACTGGGGTAAAATAAAACGAGTTCATCAATGCCAGGAAAATCAATTTCCTAAATGTTCTGGCCGATGGCTTTTCAGTACATTAAACAAAGTTTCATAAATGTCTCCGCTCTCTTGCCTTGGCCTAATATGAAAGGGAAGTCATCTTACTGGAAGTAAGGCCAGATCCCAACCTGCCTCCTGGGGTAGGGGCAGCGGTCACAGGGGCCAGGGACAGGTAGGGATGTGGGTGGTGGCTGGACATTCAAGAGGGAGCCAGGGGCCAAGGGAGACACCCTGGTGGGGTGGGGTGGGGCTGGCTGGGAACCTTCTCTGGCCTCCACAGATGGATCTCCAGGGCTTGCCCCAGATGCCCCTGGACCTGCCCTCCTGGTTGCCACAAGAGCTGGGCAGGGGCAGGGACCACGTGGATGTGCCCAGCCAGACTCACTTGGGGCCCCCTCCAGCCAAGATTCCTCTTGTGGACAACTTCCAACTCCCCAGTCACCCTCCCAGCTCGAGCTTACCCATAGGGTGGGTCACCCTGCGCAGGGCAGGGCTGGCAGGAGAGGCTGGCCCTGGTGGGTGCATCCATCCACCCCATCGTCCACAGCCACAGCCCACTGAGAAGCCCGGGGTGACCTCCGCATGGTGACCACACCCACTCCCTCTCATACACACTCAGACACATGCACACCATCACTGTGCACACCCATGTACGTTTTTTTTTTTTCCTACTGGAGATCGAATTCAGGTCCTTGTGCTTGTGAGGCAGGCACCAGAACCACTGAGCTAAATCCCTGGCCCCTATGATTTGGTTTTTTTTTTTTTAGTACTGGGGATCGAACTCGGGACCTTGCGCTTTCGAGGCAGGCGCTGGAACCACTGAGCTAAATCCCCGGCCCCACACCCATGTACAATACACACTCCTGCCCTCATGCACACACACGCTCTCACACACTACTCACATATATATGTGATAAAAACGACAGTGGATGTTTAAATTTTAAAAACTTATTACAGTAAAGGACATATTGCCAAGAATGATGGGAGCATTCTGAGAGGGATTAATAGCAATGTGTCATTCACTGTAATAATTTTTAAATGTAAACATTCACCATATTTTCTGATCTAAGCCATACACGCACGCTCACATGCTTTCACACACCCACACTCAGACTCACAAGCTCGCAGCATCCCTAGTGACTGTCCCCCGACTCTACAGATACACACATGTACAGCCCCCCCAAACGCCACACTCAGCTCCCCAAGACCAGTCTCAGGATGCAGGAGGAAGCCAGCTCCATCTAGTGCCACTTCTTGAGGCCCCTGGCCACAGCAGGTGGTACCCCCACACTCACGTGCACAGCACGCCCCTTCCTCCACCGAGCCATGTACATACCCCCTGTGGCTCTGCCCCAAATCAGGGCTGGGTGCACACAGGCAGCAAGACCCACGGCCCAGGAATACCACACTTCCTCCTCCCTGTAGAGGTCTGCCCCAGTAGTCCCACACGGGGGGGGGGTTCCTAACAGCACAGCCAAGGGAAGGCAGGCATGAGGGGCCCCTCCCAGTGCCACACAAACCTTCGGGGTCTGGGTTCCAAAGCACTCCCAGAGCAGGTCTGATGGAGTGGGTGAGAAACCCAGCAGGACGCAGAAAGTGGGGCTCTGAGCTCTTGGGGGGGGCTTCCTGGGGGGCACCAGGACCCCAGCGGGTGAGGAGCGGACAGGCTGGGCAGAGTGACAGACAGCTGTTGCCCTGGCAAGATGGGAGGCCAGCCACTGTCCAGAGCTCCAGCCACACAGGTCGGGGGCCCAGCGGGAGGAGTGGGCTCTGGCTGCTGGAGGCAGTGGCTCAGGGACCAGGGAAAGGGGCTAAAAATAGCTGGAGGCAGCTGAGCCCTCACTATATATGGCAGAGAAACAGAAGGCTCTGAAGGGCAGGCAGCTTCGAGCAGGGAGGGGGCCAGACGGGGGTCCCTGAGTCAGCCCAGAGCCCTGTGTGCCTGAGCCCCAAGCCCCAGGGAAGGTGGCCTGGCAGCAGGGCCGGCCGGCTGGCACTAAGTGCTCAGGGCTGAGGGGTGAGGCCTAGGGCCACAAGGCCACAGAGAGTCCAAGCCTTGCATCAGGCCTCCCCATCCCAGGAGCTGCTCCCAGGAGAGAGAGAGGCAGGAGGCGAGGCCTGCGCCATTGCCTCCCCATGGGCAGAGTGGGTATGCAGGGGGTGCTGAAGGGATAGCAGTCCTTGTCACTGCGCCCCTCTTCTCAGGCCCAGCACAATCACCTTGTGTCTGGCAATGGCAAGGGCTTTCCCTATCAGAGGAAACTGAAGGTCACACTTTTCCTCATTGATCTTGCAATGTTTGTTAATTACTCTGTCACTGATGTGGCGAAGGATAATTAAACAGCTCTGTTTATATCTTATATGCATAATTATGTGGCTGCGCAGGGCTCCCCGCACAGGGAGGAGATGTGCCCCTTGCTGCAGGGGGAAGGGGGACAGGGGAGCAGGCAGGGAGGCACAGGGCTCTAGGCATGAGCCTGGGAAGGAGGCTGGGGGCCAAAGCAAAGGTCTCAGACCCCTGGTTCCAGTCCTATTGGGGACCCCTGCCTGCCCACCCTCTTGAAGCTGAAAGCTCCAGGCTGCTCTGAGTCCTACAGACAAGGAGACACTAGAGAAGCTGGGCCTCGGCCACCTCTTGGGAAAGAGAACAGAGAGAGCCATGTCCAGCGGTTGGGTGGAGAGGGATTTGCTGGCTGGGCCAGGCTGGCCACGTGGCCCAGAAAGGTGCTGCCGAAGAGGGCCCGGAAACAGAGGCCCAGGGAGAAGGCAGAGGGAGGAGGTGAGAACAAAGCCTCTTCATGGAAGGCCCCTAGAGAAAGAAGATGGAGACAGAGCTCATGGGCTTCACCTTGCTGCCTACCTCCCACTGCTCTCACACTCACGGCAGATACTATGGCCCCACGACAGGCTCGTCACTCTGCAGGTGTGCAAATACCCACCTACTTGCCACCTATCTGGTCTGTCTGTCCATCTGTACACCACTGTTTCTCAAACATCCGCTCTGGGGGCAGCACCCCTGGCCTGCTCACACACTCGGGAAGCTGTTTCCTTGTCCCTTTGAGCCCTGCTACCTTGGGCCAGAAGAGAGGAAGCAGGTGTGTTCCCAGCCTCTCAGGGCCCTGCGCCCTTTCCAAGCCTTCAGCCTCCACTCCAAGGCCACACACCCACCTGAAGCCTGCTTGGCACCAGGGCCACTGCTGTCCTTTGAGGCTGTCCCATCCGAGTCCTTCTCCTCCAGGCTGCCGCCGCCATCTTTGGAAGGCTCTTCTGCATGGTCTTCCTCATCGCTGCAGCCCTGGGGCTGGACCATGTAGACTCCCTCGGGCGGCAGCTCCAGGCCCTCTCGGGGAATTCGCCCCAACACTGGCGTGGGTGCTGGCTCCTCGCTGTACTCCCCGTTGACCCACTTCTCGATCACCGCCCGCCTCTTGTCTTCTTCGCTTCGGGGAGCCTGGGGCACCCCAGACTCAGGGCCACTGCACTCCTTGTCCCGGGGCCGCAGTGGGCTGCCCACGGCCTGGGAGCCGGCCTCTGCTCCCTTGTCCACCACCACCTGGCGGCTCAGCTTGGCGCAGATGGCGTTGAGCTTCAGGCCACCTTTGCGCTTGGCCGCCATTGAGGGCTTGCCTGCAGGCGGGTCGGTGCACCGGGTGCCTTCAGCTGCAGGGATGGAGGGGCACGTGGTGAGAGGCCTGCATGCCATGCACACCCACCCCCTAATCAGGCTCGAATCCCCTAAGCCACAGGCCTCCCAGATTGACCACGGTTCCACCAAACTGCCCTGGCACTGCTTGGCATGTGCTTCTCTCCCCCATTACCCTGGGAGTTCCAGGGGCAGCCTCACAGGTTGCTCTATCCTCAGAGCCTGGCACATAGTAGGTGGCTCAAAAATGAATGAATGAAGACTTCAAATACAAGTTTTCTTCCTAGCAGCTGGTTCCTAGAAACATTTCCTAGGCATCTGGCCCTAAAGAGCTTCTCGGAGAGGTGGTTTGTCCTGTGGTACACAGGACACTAAGGCACAGGCAGGCAAAGAGGCTGGTGGTGGGGAGGCTGGCAAGTGGCAGTGCTGCACTGCTGGCAGTCCCGCTCCACATGTGAGCATTCCGCCTCACCACAGGTCCCTGGGGGATCAGCACACAGCCAGCTTCCAGCCTGTGCCAACCCCTAGCCTTGCTGTCCTAGCAGCACTTTCCTGGCATCTTCTCCATCTCAGCATCTCATCCCCTGGCAGCTCCCCTGGCAGGCCAGGTGCCTGGACCCTGCTGACTCTAACCCCTGCTCACTGGATTACAGAGCTGTTCCCCTGGGTTCCAGCCACTCAGGGGCCTACAGGTCTCTATTTTCCCCTCAGTGTCCCACCCCCACAGGGTTGGCCTGGCCCTCTGCAGCCTCTCTAGGCCGGCCATTTCCTATTGCTGTTCTCTTTCCCTAAGCCTCAGGAAGGACCATCCAAGCACAGAACTCCTGTGTCGCTGTCCAGAGCCTCCATCCTCCTCCTCTGCCCAGCCAGGACAGGCTTGGACTGCTTAGGTCCCCAGTGATGGCCCAGAGCTTGCTTGATCCCTCACATGACAGCCCACACGAGAAGCCAGAAATGCTAACAAGGCTACTTGAGTGCTGCCCATCCCCTCACGGCTGCTTAGCTTTCACTCTGCCCGATCAGAGCACTGAGGGTCCTGGGGGCCAGCAAGGGCAGCCATACACGTGTGCATGAACACACACACACACACACACACACACACACACACACAGTGACCCCACACATTCACCTACCTGTCCATCCATCTGCCTGTCCAGCTATTCATTCGTGAACCCCTACTGTGTGCCAGACCCTGTGATGCAGCTGGTGACAGGGCAGTGGCCAAGGCAGAGGGTGTCAGCTCACAATTACTTTGTGTACAGGGTCCCACAAAAGTGTATTTCTCCGACAGATCAGAAGGTTAAGTGGGGGGGGGCGCTGCTCCCCTGCTGTGTGGTGAGAGGGGCTTCACTACAATGGATCAGACACCAGAAAACTCACACCCCGGGAGCCCACCGAGACACCACCCCACGTCTGCCCAGGGGCCTCATCCACAGGTACTGGGCACACAGACACTGCCCCTTGACATACACATTGCCCACTGCACCCAGGCCTTCCTCCTCACCAGCTGCTGGTATGTGTGGCTTTGCCTGGCCCGGAGCACACTGGATGACAACCCAGCCCACTGCCAGCAAAGGGTCTGTGCAGCCTGCCCTTGGTCCTAACCAGTCCTGTGGCCCTGCCTTCAGGGCCTCGGACCCTTGCCTGGGCTGGATGCCCACTCTCCTGATGCTTGTCTACAGTGCCCAGTCTGTGCTGCCCACACCCAGGTCCCTACACACTGGCATGGGGCTGCTTCTCACAGCAGCAAAAAGCCCGTCATCACATGCCCACTGAACCGCCAGGTGGCCAGCAGGCTCTGCGACACTTTTCCTCAACAGGCCTCTGGGGGGTCAGGTCTCACCTGGTCCCCTCTGTCCCCTTCCCTGGACAGAGAAGGGAAGGACACGAGTGGGGGAGCCTGCACTATTTTTACCAGGAGGTAAGCAGCCAAGTGTGTATGGCAGACGGCAAATGAATCTATAAATATTTATCCTGAGGAAGAGGGAGGCAGGAGCTCCCAAGGCTGCACTTGCTGCTGGTGACACCCCCTCCCCGGTCCCACCCATCCTGGAGCCTCCCCATCGTCAGCCCATCGTCAGCCCACTGGCCCCAGCCTCTCCTCTCCTGCTCTCCGCTGTGTGCCGGCTCAGTCCCCACCAGGGCCCCCACCAGCTGCGATGCAGCTGTAGACCCAGGGCCCACCCCCACTCCCCAGGCTCCTTTGCTTCTGCCAACTCCCCCTACACCTGCCCTCCAGCTGCTGCTCTGCCCCAGCCCACCTGCCTTCCAGATGTTGCCCTCCCTCTGACTCTACTGCTGGTCCCTAGGGTGGAGGTGGAGGAGGTGCCTGGGCCTGGGACGCAGGGGCAGGGCTTGTGAGCTGTGAGTGGCAGAATGTGTAGCACTGGGGCAGCGGGAAGGGGGCACGTGTGAGCCGAGAGCTGACTGTCTGCCTGCCGCCTCCCAGCCCCCCACGGGGCCTCACTGCTAGCCCCTCCATCAGGGCCCAAGGACCTGCAGACTACCCTGCCCCCAAGGTCTGACCCCAGACTCCTGTCCATGTAAACATTCCTTTGACTTTCTTCCCTAAAACATAAACGCCGTGGCCAGGCCTCAATGGAAGGAAGCCATCCGTCCCTGGCCCTGTCACTGCCCCTTTCATCTCCTTCCCGCCACCAGCCTGCCCGCTGCTCTGTTTACACTAGACACTTCCTTTGGGAACAATGCTGCCCAGGAGGCAGGCTGGGGCGGGGGTGGGAAGGAGAGGGGACTCCTGTTGTGCTCACCCAGGATGGGCAGACAGGGGGCAGGGGAGGGCAGCCCCGGTGGGCTGGGCAGGGAGCCCACTCTGCTCCTGGCAGCCTCCAGCCTCTGGCCCTAGTGGCTCTGGACTGGCCAGGGTGAAGCCTGGGAGGTGGCACAGCACAGGTATGGCCTGGGCCCTGGAGTCAGAGCTGTGAGCACATGGCCAGGCTCTCCCTTGTGGGCTCTGGGCTGGGCAGGCTTCTCCATGAACAAGGGTTGCAGGTGAGGGAGCCCATCTGTGCCAAGTATAAGGCTGGCAGGCAAAGAGCTGGGGAAAGGTAGCTGAGCCCTGGGAGGGGACAACAGATAGACATGGTACCACACCTGGCTCAAGGTCCCAAGACCTGGAACCTTCACCTGGCCTAGAAGACACAGTGAGGAAAGGAGAGGCCTGAAGCTGCCCTCACAGCCCCCTCTCATCCTAGGAAATGGTGCTGCCCCAGGTTCCAAAGCTTCCCCACCAAGGCTCCGAACTCAGCAAGCCCCTTGCAGGCAGTCCTTGTCCCTGAGCTGAGCAGGCCCCGTTGGGGGCTGGGGAAACACAGGTACAAAGTGACTGTACTGGCCAGGGGTTTAGCTCAGTGGTTCTGCTGCCTGCCTCGCAAGTGCAAGGACCCGAGTTCAATCCCCAGTACCAAAAAAACCAAAAACAAAGTGACTGTCCTTTACAGCACGATGGCCCCGATTTCTGCTAAAGAGCAATGCAGTGAGCAGGTACTATCACTGCCCCATTTGACAGAGGAAGAAGTTGATCCTGAAGCCACAGACACCCCAGAGCCTGGGCCTATCATGCCAGGAGCCCAAGAAGGTCGGGCTCAGGTCTGCACCGCTAAGGCTCCTGGGAAAGTTCTGGGAGGTCCTCCCTAATGGGGCTCCATTTCTCCCCTTACCCATCTCCTCCTCACCCCTATTTCCTGTTCCCATAACACGGAGCCCCCTAAAGTGTTAACTTCGATGGGTAAAATGGTGCAGCAGATTGCTACAATAAATAATTTACTGATATTTATAAATATTCAAATCAGCCAGCTTCAGAAATCGAATGAAGGGAGAGCCTCGGGAGAAGGGGCCCGTTATGGCTTGAATTTCATCACTCCCTCCAAAGGCTGGGGAAGGCCAGGGCTCCTGCCAGTTCTGGGTGAGGAGGGGGGCTCCTGTAGCTGCATCTGGGCCCCTTGTCCCCTGATCTCCCTGACTCAGAAGGCAGAGGTGGGGCAGCTGAAGAACTGCTCCTTCCTCACCTGGTCAGGCCCAGGCCCAGGTCCTCTCCCACATTCTAGGGGAGGAGAGGCTTGATCCCCACTGCCAGGGCCTGGGTCTTGGAGTAGCTTGTCCTGCCAGGGCGGGGGCAGTCCCAGGGGGCTGGGCAGGCCTGGCAGCCCCTCCCTACCCGTGAGTAATGTGTTTTGGGGCCGGGCTGCCTGTCAGATACCAGGCTCCGGGTGCTTTATGGGCTCTGCTTGGTGGCTCTGAACTCCCTGGTAGGAAATAAAGTTCTCCCAGCGCGTCCCTTCTAAACATTTCACTCAGTGGAAACGGTGTTTAAGAAAAATGAGGACATATTTCTTCCTAAGGATGCAGTATCCCCTTTGAGCGGCCTAATGCCCGCTGTATATCAGGAGGTGGGAAGGCAGGGGCCAGCAGCCAGTCCCTTGGGGTGGAGGTGCAGCCTCGACAGCCTGCTGCTGGGCAGCTTGGGGGTTCATGGGCACTGCCCCACCACTCTGGTACTGCCCTAGCCGGTGATGTCTAGAAACATACAGCAGCTGGCACCTCCTGAGCACTGTGCCAGGGAGCACGCTGGGCACTTATAGTCACCTTGGCGATCCCCCCAGGGTCCCTACGTCCCAGGGACCCTGTTTCCATTTCCAGAGGAGGCAGCAGTAGCAGCAAGATTGCTAATTGCCCACGGTCACCAAGTCGGTGCTGGAGCCCGACTCTGGGCTCAGATGTTCAAGGTCGCAGTCTCAAACCCCACACACATCTCCCACAGCCTTCCAACCAGCTGTCCTGGAGTCTCAGAGCCGGCATGTACTTGAAGTTTCCACCTTGCTGCCCCTTCAGAACTTGAACTTTGTGGACCACAAGCCTCAGTTTGTGCCTATGTCCATGCCATGACCCTGAGCACCTTCTGCAGGCCAGGCCCTGGGCTGAATCCTGAGGCTACGACATGAACAAGACAGGCAGCCCTGGGTCCTACATTATCCTGGTCCCTACACTGCGGACGGTTCATTCAGACAAGGGAGTGAATGTCTAAAAGTCATCACAGGAGCCATCACAGTGGCAAAGAGCACAGGTGGCATACCAGCAGCAAGTCTGTGAGCACGGAAGGCTGGCTGGATACCCGCTCCCTCCCCATCGCCATCTGAACAGTTTCCTCCTCAAGCTCCCCAGTCAGGACTGTCCCCTGGGAGAAGGGTGTCCTCCCCTCCCGGGCCCAATCCCATCCCCAGCTCAGGATAGAAGGAGATGGACAGGAGAGATTCTGTGGGAGGGAAGAGTGGCCACTGCTCCCCTGGGGTTCTTGGCCAGGTCTCAGGTCCTCAAAGAGAGTCATGCTGGGACTGGGCGGGGCTTGGCTGCTGGGCCCTAGCTTGCCCCCCTTTGTTTATTTATTTATTATGATTTTTTAGTCCAGTTAAAAGGTTTACTATCCAGACGCGTCTAAGTGGCCTCACTTAGCGTAAGTAACTCTATAAATCAGGGGAACTGTTAGCATCCACCGCACAGGCTGGCTATCAATCTCCCCCAGGTCACAGCCAAACAGGAAGGGGAGAAAAAAGAGAGTTACCACCCAGGGGAGATTTAAAACACACACACCGAGCAAACACACAGACCGTGTGCATGTCTGCGAGCGCGCATACACGCTCAGGCGTCTAAATTTGTACAATCATATTAAATTCACACATGACCATGTAGAGCAGCCCAGAAAATGGAAATCCTGTGTGTGGTCACGGTAACAGAACACAGACACAGTTCCTGCAGCCAGAGGTGAGACACAGCCCGGGCAGGGGTGCCTTCAGATGGCCCCAGGGCCAGGCTATGGGAGCCCAAGCAGACCCCTGCCCTCTCTGTGGCCCCCACTTCTGCAAACCCCAGGGTACTATGCTTTTCCCTTTTGCGTGCCCAAGGCAGGCACTAGGCAGGGAGGCGGAGCGAAAGAAGGGACGCCAAGGAGGATGTGGGCTGCAGGCCCTCCCACATGGGGCACGACGACCCTGTGCGCTCATCTGGGGTCCTCTCTTGCTGTCCCCGGCATCAGAGACTGGGGGGGGGGTGAGCTTAGGGTGAACAGCACGGGACCTTTCTGTGGCAGCAGCAGAAGTGCACCTTATTACTGAGCAGCTGCAGCTGTGTGTGCAGCCTGGGAGAAGCTCTCGCCCATCCCTGGAAAGACCCCGGCCTAGCAGGCCCCGCTAGCTGAGGGACACCACGGACCGTGGCAGAGTAGGCGGCTCCTGGCAGCTCCTCCTGGTCCTGAGGAGGCCTTGGGTGAGGCAGCCGAGGGGGAGACCTGTCCAGACCCACCTCCCCTCTGCGCTGCCCGGGAGGCCTCCCTGCTCACCCGCCCGCCTGCCCGCTGCATCTCCCCATGAACTCTATTTCTCTTTCCTCTCTGAAAACAACTGAGCTGTAAATACTGTTTAACCTTCCCCCCCCTTCCCCCCACCCCCTCCCCTCCGCACTATAAAAACACAAATATGCCATAACTCAGCCGCCCGGCCGCCCAGCCTCCAACATGCCCCGCGCCCGGGCCTCTCAGGAAGGTCATTACAAACGACTTTCCGATTCACTGCTCCTGAAATAATTTTGTGTATTAAAACCTGAATCTGCACTTTCTGGGGCCGAAAGCCTCGCTTAATTATGGCGGGTGTCCTTGGGACGGACAGTGATCCTTCACTCGCCAGCCCGCGCTCCAGCCCTCCGCCCGCCAGCCCGCCCCCCTCCCCAGGCCCAATCTGTTTTCAAAGTGTGTCTGTCCTTTATTAAATTGTTTTCTTTTCCACATTATCAGTTGCCATGGAGACCTCATCTCTCGGATTATTTGAATTTCATTATATCTATTGATTTGGGAGCATTTCATCTTTTTTATTGTTTTTCTGTCAATTTTCAAAACGAATAACCATCTAATTTGCGTCAGTGCTGATTATGTTTGTCCCTCAATAGAGGTCGGCAGCTGCGCTGGGGAAACAAATCAATGAAAAACCATCATAAAACTCCCCACTCCAGTCTCCAGGATGTGTGGGTGACATTCCACGCCTGCGAGAGACACACTCATCAGCTCCAACTTGGGCTACGGTGGCGGCAGCTCCGTTCCATGTCCGCCTCCTTTGGCCTTAATATTTAATTTTGCGATTTGGGGCATTATTAGTGGTGTTTTTATTAGTGCATGTGCACGTGAATGTTTGATGGTGGGCTGGCTGTTTCACTACTTTGTGGGTGAGGCAGGGAAACCCTGGAGAAGGGCAGGGCAGGCAGTGCGGGGGGTGTGGTGGGAAGCGGAGACAAGAGGGGGAACACCCTGAGGAGTGAGACAGGAGTCTAGGGACCAGGAGGGCCCCGAGGAGGGGACTGGAAAAGGGGGGATCGAGTGAAGGGTGGGGAAAGAGGGAATTCAAATTGCTTACTTTGTTGGTTTTTTTTAAATAATTTATGCAATTTTAAGCATTTATGTATAAATTTTTTAATAAGCCACCCTGGAGCAGGATGGCCATTAACATCCCGACGTCCTTCTGTCCAATGGGCTGGCAGAGAGGATCAATTTCTGAGAGTACTTTCCCTTTTTTATGACATGATAAAATGCTTTTAAAGCAACTTACACAAATATGGAAATTTTTTTCTTTTTTCTGTCCCCTCTTCCTTTCCCTAACAGCCTCCTTATCCACCAGGGAGGGGGCTTGTGTGTACACGCACACACACGCACACCCACACAATCGTGTTCATACTCTCTCTCCTGCTGGGGAGGGGGCAGAGGGGGCTGGCAGGGAGACAGCCCCAGTTCTAACTGGAACTGGCCGCCTGTCCTTCTAACAAGGGCATAAACTTTCATTACCCATGCACACAGTCAAAGACAATTTAGGGAAACGCGCTGCTTGGAAAAGGAAAACCTCAGCGATTCACGGCCCACGCCACCGATACCACCATCTGGGGGCTCTCCCTCCAGCACGAGGGCACCTGGGCCCTGAACCTCTGGCCCTGGACGGCAGGCGCAAGGATGGCTTCCCAGGGGTGCTCTCAGTGGCAGGCAGCCAGAGCGAGACAGGAGAGGTAGAGTGCAAGGGTCTGCCTCTGTGGCCAGACTGGATGGTGCCGGCCCTGGGCAGAGGCGGGCCCTGGTCTTGCCCTTCCCCGAGGCCACTTTGCTAACACTGACCAGGCACAGGCCCTTGAAGGCAGGCACAGGGCTCCTTTATTTCTGCCACTCTGGTGCCTGGAATAGAGCAGAAGCTTGGCTCTGTGGATAGAGAGAGAGAGAGACATATGGACCAAAAGTCAAAACAAGGAAATAGGCTGTAAGGTGACCTGAGGTCCCAGCAGGAGCCCCGTGGACCCTGAGGACAAGGTGTCCTCCACAGATTTCCCTGCTGTGGACACAGGTCTGGGGCAGAAGTGCCTCTGGGAGGAGAATGGAGGCATCAACTGCCATCACCCCCACACTGGGCCTGAGCCCCGGACTTCCCCGGAGACAGGGGCAGGCCCTGTAAGGAAGACAGCAGGTAGCCCTCATCCCCAGACTTCAGGTGAGCCCAACCGGGCCTTCTAGCTTCTCCTGATGGGAGTCAGGAGGGACCTGAGGGTGATCCTGCCCAACATCCCCCTCGCCCTGTTCACGAGCACCATCCTGGATGCCCGTGTGGGGCCACTGCAGGACAATGACCAGCCTTCTGAGACCACACTTGGGCACCTCAGCTTTGGCAACTTCCAAATCAATCAACACCAGAGACACAGCCCCCTCTAAGCAAGTTTCCTTTGCCCTGGCCTCAGGGTCCTCATCTGTGACACACTGTGTTGAGGAGATGATGTGGTGACATGTTTGGTACAGAGCTGTGGAGCACATGGTGCCTGCCACTGCTCGATGGTGACCATGAGCAGAGTCCCTTCCCTGGTAATTGTGGGGACAACTAGGTGTAGAGTCCAGGCCCTGCCTAGCTCTGCCCAGGGGTCAGAGAATTGCCCAGTGCCCGCTGCTTCTCTGCCCCCCAACCTCCTCCTGGGCCCTCACCTGCCTGGGCATTTGGGGCTGGGTCTCCCTCCCAGTGGGGAGCCTGGGAAGGCTCTGGGCATGCTGGACCCTCTGGTGTGGTCAGCAGCAAGAGAACAACCTGGATGAGGCCAGGCCACTCCAAGCCCTCAGTGGGGATGAAGGGGAGCGCCCACCCCTCCGCCTCCTCCCTGCCCAGACCGCCCCCCCAACTGTCATTAAAATAACAAGTTTCTGTTACAATCTAAACATTCCCACATCGCATAAAGGGTTATATTACACCCGAGTCGCTCCCGCCTGTGTTTCCACAGAAAAGCTCACGGCAGGTCCCCCCTCCTGACGAAGTGACTTATTAAAGTTTAAACAGTAATTAACAGAACAATAAAAATAAAGGGATGTTTGGGGAGTCATAGCGCACACAGGGTTTTTGGCAGTGCCAGCAGTTTTTCAGTGCCCTGCGCTGGCAGCAAAATGCGACTGTGAAGCCAGGGGGACAGAGGACGGGCCAGGGTTGGGCCAGGGAGACTTGAGGCCCGAAGGGCAAGAAACCAAGTCCAGACTGGAGGGAAGGGGTCTGGGGTAGCAGGGTAGGCACAGCGTGAGCAGGAGAGGTCTGAGGGCACAGAATCTGGCAGACCAGGGCAGGCTTCAAGAGCCCAGCCTGGCCCCAGGCACTTCCGGGAGCCTCGGTCATATCTAGCCAACTTCGGCGTGGACCTGGCTGGAGGAGGTGTCAGGTCCCTGGCACTGTGAGGATTACGAGACCCTACAGCAGTTAATGATTCCTGAGGCTGGACCCCTGCCCCTCTGGACTTCTCTCCCAGCCAGGCAGGTACCTTCCACCCCACCCCGCCACCAGCTCCCGTGGCCAGGGCACCCTGAGAACTCTCCTGAGGCCGCTGGCCCTTGCTAAGCACGAGTAAGAACTCCAGGGAAGGGCCTTCCTCTCCCTGCTCTGGGACAGGGAGGCCAGCCAGCTAACTCGTGCCAGGCCCCACTTCCCTAACAGGAGAGATCGCCCACCTGCTGGGCCAGGTGGAGCCCACCGGGAAGTCCTTACTCCCCAAGTTTGCAGGGAGTGGAGGCTGGGGTCTGGACAAGACCAGAGCACCAGTTATGCCGGCCTTGCCTTTTCTCCCACCACAGCTTCTGCCCCAGAGGCTCAGACACCTGGCTCTAAGGGAGCAGAGAGACAGGTCAGCTAGGGAGGGTCCTGGGGAGAGGAGGCCAGCATCTACCCCGGGTTCCTTCAAAGCACTGGGGGCCAAGGAAGGAAGGAACCCTTGGGTGTGTGCATGTGAGTGTTTCGTGGTCGGCTGGCTGTTTCATATATTTGCGTGTGAGTTAAGGAAACCCCCGGAGGAGGAGGGCAGCTGCCCTGTGTTATCTCAGCAGTGGAGACCGCCTGGTGCTGGCAGGTGACAGAAAACCAGGCACTGATGGGCTGACCCTTGACTTCCAGGCCCCAAGCTGCCCTCTCACATCTTCCCTCTCCTAGACCCCCAGGGACCCCACTGTTCTAGGGCCTACTGGGGCAGGGATGTGCTCCTCAGACTTACACCCCCAGTGCCCACGGCCAGCCTCACTGCCCACGCCTGTCTCTCTTCTCCAAGGAGAGCCACTGCAGAACCAAGTTCTCTCCTTACCACATAGGATTAGCTCCAAAAAGTGAATTTTCAGTACAGCATCCCCAACCCGGGTTCTCCTCACTAGGGCAAAGAGGGGCCTCAGACACTAGGAGCCCTGAGCAAAGATGTCTCCTTCTCCAGGCTGCTCCAACCCCTCTGTGCCTCGGTGTGCCAGCCTGCCCAGGCCTGCCTTGGATCCTTTCTGCAGGAGCCTCCCTCCACCTCCGCCTGCCACCACGAGCCCTGGACTAGCACTCAGCTCAGATCCAGCCCCTTTCCCAGGGCAGACAGCCCACTGCGCCCTGGTGCAGGCCCCAGGCCCCAGGCTGGGCTGGGTCCCAAGGCTCTCTCTAACCTCCGGTCTCCCGGGATGTGGGCTCTGGGAAGCTGGTGGCCACAAAGGGCAGAGACTCTGTCTCTTGTGAAGCCTGTGATCCCCAAACATTCTACCTCCTCTCGCCAAGGCCCCTGTGGGCTCTGGCAGCAGGGGAGTACAGGGTCCTTCGTGGCCCTGCGCTTGAGGAACTGTGTCCTGAGGACCTGCGGGAGATGGGCAGGTTTTCTCCCCCTTTCCTGGGCAGAGTTCTTCAGGGCTTCATCCCTACCCACCAGGCTGAGTGACTCATGGCTGGGGCAGAGTGGAGGTCGAGGCAGAGAGCACTTGAGAAGGGTGCAGGTGATGGTTCCCCAGCTTCCAGGGGCTGTGCTCAGCAGCGAGACTGGAAGCAACAACAGGAGCTCATACTCCCTCTCCCTGGCTGCTGCGCAGGAGGCAGACTGAGTCACCAGCCCGCCCCAGAGCCAGCCGGGGGTGGGAGGTGCCCTCAAGGCTAGGGGAAGAACTGGTGGAAGACAAGGCAGAGGGTGCTGGGGGAACCCTGAGGCGGGTGGGTGGGGACAGAGGCCTTCTAATGGATTCGTGCTGTGGTGGGCAAATGAGGAGCTGCAGTTCACTCTGATCTTGTTTCTAGGACACCCAACCTCTCCCCTGTGCTAGGGGCAGTCAAGGAACTCTGGCTGGACAAGGAGCTCCCAGAGCAGCAGGCACTCGGGCAGAGGCTGTCCTGGATCTGCACTGGGCTTCAGAACGGGAAGGGGAGCATGCCCTGAGAATTGGGGAGACGTGGTGAAAGCCTGGGTCCCTCACTGATCAGGAACACGCAGATCCAGAGACCCACTTCCCACTCAGAGCCCTCAAAGGCCTGGCAAAGCCAACTGCAGTACATTTGGGGTTAAAGGGGGACTTTCTGTAATCCCAGCACTTGAGAGGCTGGGGCAGGAGGACCACAAGTTAGAGTCTAGCCTGGACAAATTAGTGACTTAGCAAGATCCTGTCTCTAAATAAAAAACATAAAAGTGCTGGGGATGTATTCCAGGGCAAAGGCCCTGGGTTCAATTCTCAGTACCAAAAAAAGTATGTGTGTGACTCTCTACAGCCTTGAAAACTGACTGCTCCAGGGTCAGTGGGCCCCAAAAGCCAAAGGCTCTTTCTAGGGAGGGTTGAGCCCCACCCTGGCCCACCTGGGAAAGCACCCCAATCTCTGAACCAGAACTTCTGGACTGCGGGGTCTGGCAGTCAGGCTCTCCAGTTACTAAGGGACATGCAAGTGGACGCTGGTTCACCCACTGGCGGTGGGTGGGTCTGTGTGGCATGGGGGTGGGAGGTGTCCTCTGGTAGGGACCAGGACCCCAGACCTTGTGAGTTGTGCTGTGAAGGGGAATCGGGGTAAGCTCCATCCTGGGATTCGGGCAACAAAGGGACAGAGAGACCCAGGAGGGCAGCAGGTGGCAGAGGGTGCTGTGGTCGACACACCACCAGCCCTCCCTACAGCCCATCTCCTCAATCCCCTGGCTGAGGCCAACGACGAGGACATGAGGGGACTAATTTAGGAGTATTTTTAAAACTGTGGCCCTGGTGGAGGGGTTTAGCAGTTGTCAGCCATCTGGAATAAGGAATTACAACCACCTCCCTAATCCTATATCCCTAAACCCTAAAGCTGGTTACAGGGGAGGGAGCGGCAGCAAGTGGGTGGGGGTTGGGGTCTGTTCCAGAAAGGGGCAAAGCCCAGGGATGCGCCACTCTGCCCATGGGTCCCACCAGAGGGTGCCCCGGGCCGGGCTGCAGGCTGCAGAGCCCAACGTGCTCAGAGCCCACTCAGCTCCCCCACCCGCTCACGCACGCTCACTCCCCAGGCCGCACTGGCTCGCACAGGGGCCGTCAGGTAAATTAGATCTGAAAGCTGACAATTTCTGACCATATTTCCTTGATTATTTCAAACAAATGCACAGCAGCCGCTGTAAGGAGATTAAAGTGACATAAACGTCCCGAGTGGGAGGGGGGAGGGCAGAGGATTCAGGTCACCCCCATCCGTCCCCCGCCTGACAGACGCTATATCGCTATCCAATCCAATAAAAAATCCCCCCCTTTTGCTTTAATTAATTTTACAGCTAGCTTGCTTAATTACTTTCAATCAAAATCCTCCTGCCATCGCAAAATTAGAGATGGTTGAGCTCCATTAGCCTAAATTCTTCATTTCCATACAGAAAAGAGGCTGTCTGCAGAGCCAGCCCAGGCCCCTGGCAGGACAGACGCCCGTCTGCCCTCCCGCTGCCAGCCAGCCCACT